CGTGTTCCGGTTGCAGAAGGAAGCGAGAGACTACGGAGGTCGAAACAACGGTCCTGAAGAAGTGCTAAACGGTGAAGGAGGAACAATGGATGTTCCCCCGTTGCGTGACAAGGTGCCTGATCCCGATTGGGAACGGCTACGCGAGCACGTCAACCGTGTTGTAGAGCAGTATGGGCTGAAGGGAGATTGCTGGGAACGGTTGAAACCGTGTATCAAGTCGTATTTCGAGGAGAACGCGGGTCAAGTGTGGACGAAACTGTGGGACCGTACGGGGCGGTCGAGGACGCCTGGTACTAGGCGCCGCCGTCGCCGTCAGCCTGAGAAGAAGGGTTGCTTTGACTTTTCGTCGTTGTACAAACCGTATGCCGAAGTACTGGGAGACGTGGAGTTCTACCCTGAGCGTGAAGAGGAAATTTCTCATTACGTAGAGGTGGTACGGTGCGAGCGTCCGGCTCGGACACCGGTACCAAGGACCGGTCTCGTGGAAGTCGACACGGTCAACTTGCCCAACGGATTTGGACTCTGTGAGGAAGATGGAGATGAGTGTGACGTGTATCGCGCTGTCGAGGACGGTCGCCGGGTGGTGTGTGCTGTTGGCAACTTTGAGGCTCTCTCGAGCGGTTATATTGACTGCTTACCGTCTTAAATGCTAGCGGATACGGGCGCTACTCTAAGTCTCGTGGATCGACGCGTGCTGAAGCGTTTAGGACGGTCGTCCGAGCCGCTGGAACCGTACGAAGGCCTGGTGAGGAGCTCCTCGGGGCACAATTTGCGGATTCGTGGTTGGATTACCCTCTCTCTCCGTCTAGGAACGGCCGAAGTCTCGATGAGCTTGTTGGTCGCTGACCGTCTCCACGTCGATGCGATCCTGGGTGTTGATGCCCTAGGAGCATTCGGTGTCGTAATCGACGTTTCAGAACGGACGTTGACTCTGAAGAGTACGGGCGAAGTGTTGACGCTGGGTTTCACCATGGTGCAGGAGTCGTACATGACGACGATGGCGACGTCGGTGCGGTTGCCGCCGCGTGGCCAAGCTCTCGTGATGACTCGTGCCGTGGGAGCCGTCGTCGACAAGGCGACCGTTCTGGTCGAAGGATCTTTGGGTCTGCCTCCGACGATGTGCGTGGCACGGTCGCTGTGCACGGTCGAGGAAGGCCAGGTCATCGTCGAAGTCTGTAATGCGTCTACGGATGAGTACTGGATCCGGAAAGGAACGGTCATTGTGTGCACTTCCGTGATCCCGGAGTCGGCTTTCGAGCCGCCAACGGTCGATCCGAAGGGTGTGGAGCGTCAAACGGTTGGTCCGAAGGGAACGGTGCCAGCCGAAGGTGGCGAGCCCAAGGGGGAGCGTGCAGCGTCAGTGTCAGAAGCGCGCGAAGTGGGCGTCGGCGAGAAGGTGAAGGCTACGAAGCCGGACATCCCGCCCGACAAAGCGGAAGCTATGAAGGCCGATTTCTCGGAGGCTAATCTGCCGCCGGAGCAGAAGGAACTGTTCCAAGGAGAACTGAACGCTTTCCACAGCATGTTTGTGGACTCTTCTAAGACGCCCGGACGGACGGATCTGTTGCAATTCGAGATCGACACCGGTGACAGTGCTCCGATCAAGCAGCAGCCGTACCGTGTCTCGTTGGCTGAAGGTGAAGTCATGGAAGCGGAGATCCAGCAGTACTTGGAGCTGAACCTGATTCGACCTTCGAACAGTCCGTGGGCGAGCCCGGTCCTGATGATTCGGAAACCGGACGGTGGAATACGATTCTGCATCGACTACCGTAAGTTGAACGCGGTAACGGTGAAGGACTGTTACCCCATGCCGTTGATTGATGATATTCGGGACGTGTTGGGCGACGCTCAACTGTTTTCGACGATTGATATCGCTTCTGGCTACTGGAACGTACCGATGCACCCGGACAGCGTGTCGAAGACCGCTTTTACGTGTAAATACGGTCTGTACGAATGGTTGGTGATGCCATTTGGCCTTTGCAACGCTGTCCCAGCGTTTGAACGGTTGATGGAGACCGTTTTGGCGGACGTCAAGTGGCGAATCTGTTTGGTTCATCTCGATGACTGTGTCATTTTCAGCAAGGACTTCCCTACCCATCTGGTTCCTGTGCGCCAAGTGCGGACACGGTTCCAGCAGGCTGGATTCAAGCTCAAGATGAAGAAGTATCACTGGGGGCGTAGTCAAGTAGCGTTCCTGGGGCACATTGTGACTCCTACTGGGATCCTGCCTAATCCTGAGAACGTGAAGGCTGTGATGAACGTGAAGCGTCCGGTGGACGTGCATGGGATCCGCTCTTTTCTGGGTCTGACGAGTTACTTCTGTCGCTACATCCCGGGGTATGCGTCGATCTCTGCGCCCCTGGAACGGTTGAAGGTGAAGGACGCACCGTTCGTGTGGAACGAGGACTGTGAAGCTGCGTTTAGACAGTTGAAGTGTGCGCTCTTGAAGCCGCCGATACTAGTCTATCCTAATGGCAAGAAACGGTTTAAGTTGTACGTGGACTCGTCACGGTACGCTGTTGGCGCTTGCTTGATGCAAGAAGTGAACGGTCGCGACCGTGTAGTGGCCTACGCTAGTAAGCTGTTAACTGGATCGCAGAAGAACTGGATCAACAACCAAGATGGTATCTCGGAGATTAAGTGTTGGGGAGTTGTCTGGGCGACGAGGAAGTTCCGCTGCTACCTGGACAAGCGTGAGTTCGATTTGTACACGGACCACCAGGCGCTGACGTGGATGTTCAGCCCCGGTAACCGTACGACGAACGCTAAGCTTGTACGGTGGGCGATGGAGTTCTCGAGCCTCCAGTTCAAAGTTCATCACAAGCCTGGTGCTTCTTTGGGTCACATTGACGGTCTGTCACGATTGCCGATGGACACGGTTGCGGCTCTGACGATGAGTGACCTCCTGAACCCTGAGATCACGGCCGATGACGTGCTTCCGGCTTCAGTCGGGGAGCAGCCTGGTACAAACGGTGAACTTGCGAACGGTGAGGATGTTGCTGGCGAGCGTGCAGATGGACGTGTGGATGATGACGAATCTGACCGTCCGAACGAGGACGTTGGCAGCGGTCCGGAAACGGACGCGCCGATATCCCCTGTGGACCGGTTCGGACTCGACTCTGAGCAGTTCGTAGAAGCGCAGCAAGAGGTGCCGTGGATCAAGGCTCTCGTGGCTTTCCTGCTGGACGGTGCCTTGCCTCTCGACCCCTTCCTGCGAGCGACTGTCGTCAAGATGGGACGTCGATATGAAGTGCGGAACGGTTTATTGATGCGGCGTGTGAATCTACCAGACCTGCACGGTCCTTGACCGCTCCGGTGGTTCCGTTACCGTATGTGGAGACCGTGTTGCACTACTCTCACTCTGACATTCTGTCCTCTCACCTGGGATTGACGAAGACTCTGGAGAAGGTGAGGAGACATGCGTTCTGGCCGGGATGGCGAAAGGATGTCACGGAGTACGTCCGGGAGTGCAACCGTTGTGGTAGTGGGAAGGGCTCGAGACCGTGGCAAGCGGGGCAGGTGCAACGGATGCCCGTAGCCGATCTCACGGGACCGTTCTCGCTACTAGTGGTCGATGCCGTTGGACCGTTACCGGAGACTGAACGAGGCAACAAGTACATTCTTGTATTCGTGGACTACTTCACGAGATGGGCCAAGCCTTAGCAGTTCTCCGATTGGACTCCGTCACGTTCGTTGACGTTATGGTGAACGGTGTTGTGTCCCGGCACGGTGTTCCTTCACGGTTGTTGAGTGACAACGGTCGGAATTTCACGTCGGAAATTGCTAAGTCGTTCTACCAAACGCTCGGGATCAAGAAGCTGTTCGGTTCTGCCTATCACCCGCAGATTCAAGGTCTCGTGGAGCGGTTCAACGGAACGCTCATGGGAATGCTCAAGATGCACGTGAGTGAAGCGCAAACGGACTGGGATGTGTATTTGCCTCGAGTGTTGTTTGCCTACCGTACGTCTTATCATGAGACGTTAGGCGATACACCGTTCTTTTCTCTCTGCGGGCGTGATGCTACGCTACCGCTGGACGTCGCGTTCCTGAACCTGGGGAAGAAGTGGAAGAGCAACGAAGTGGCTCTGTATCGACGGGAGTTATACCGGTCGCTGCGGGATTCTCGTCATCTGGTCGAGCGTCAACTGGTGAAGGCTCAAGATCGTCATGAAAAACGGTTAGGTGACCGTGTAGCCGTGGAGTACGAAGTTGGAGACCCGGTGTGGGTGTATCAACTGTTCCGGAAGAAGCGAGGGGAGGCTCGGATGAAGAAGCTAGCGTTCGCGTGGCACGGCCCTTACCGAGTTGTGGCGAAAGTGGGCGATAATGCGTACCGGATTGACATCCCGTCGCATCCTGACAAGGTGGTCACGGTCAACGTGAACCGTTTGAAGAAGTTTCGTGGCAAGTGGACACGGCCGTACATGAATGACGTGCCGGACGGTTTCGAAAACGGTGAAGGGGAGGCTGAAGATGGGCCGCTGGAGGAGTCCGACCTCCCCACGTCGAGTTTCACGGAACGACTGACCGTTGGCAAGGGGGACACGGTCCTCACGGGTGTCGACTCGCCGTTGTTAGCAGTGTGTGGGAAACGAACGGTGGACCGTTCCGTGGAGTACCTGGTGTTGGTTGCGAATTATGAAACGTTTTGGGTGGCTCGGGCCGAGTTGATGCCTGAGTACGAGGCCCTAGTGACGGCTTTTGAACAAGCCCGGAGGAAGAAGTTGCGGCTGCCCGAGTTGCGTCGAAGCTCGCGGCTGGCCGATGCCAATGAAGAAGTGGAGGACGACGACATGCTAATGGCGTAGCACGGTCAACGGTGGGAGCGTTTGTGTTTTGGGGAAACGGTCGTGGATGATGTTATGAACGGTCGAACTACAAGACTCAAGAACGGAACGAGTGGAAAACGGTTTGCATGTTGTTATTGAGATTAATTGGAGGGACACACGGAGTAATACGGAAAGAATGAACGGTCAGGAGCGTCCCTGATTCACGGAGAACTACTTGGAGCTCGAAGAGTCGGAGCTCTTCTTCTTGGGGTTGCTCTTGGCCGACGCGTCGCCCTTGTCGTCGCCAGAGCTGCTCTTCTTGTCGTCTTCGGGAGCGTCGTGGGTGTCCAAGCTGCGGCCGCCTTCGTCGGCTTCGGCTTGGTCATCTTGGTCGGCGTCGTCCTGCTCTTGGTCGTCAGGCTCGTCTGCCTGCGTGGGACTCGGCGTGGACGGCTTCTCCTCGGACTCGTTCTCTTCGACGTCTTCGAGCTCCTCATCGACGGGTGGAGACGGCGGCTCCACGGCGAGCGTGTCGTCGGTGTAGTTCGAGTCGTTGTCGCCCTGCTCCTTGTGCGGGAACGGCTTCAAGTCCATGCCGACCCTGTACGTGCCCTCCTTGAGCTGCTTGGCAATCTTGACCTGGAGCGCGCGGATCCGGCTGTTCGTCAGCAGCGTCTTCCAGATGCCGCCGCTCTTGTTGCCGATCCAGGCCGGGTTGGGAGGCTTGCGGCCCGCGTCGAGCGCGATGCGAGCCAGAGCTTCGTCGCCGAGGCGAAGGTGCGGGGGACGAGTCGGGTCCAAAGCCTCCGTCTGCTCCAGCAGCTCACGGATGCTCTGGTAACCGTCTTCGTCGACGCGGCACGGATCCAGGAGGTGAGCCATCAGGCTGTCGTAGCGGGAACGTTCGTGGCGCCACAGCGTGACGAGGCCCGTCGCCGAACTGTCCTTGCCCTTGGCCGACACGGAACGCTTGGCGGCCTTGCCTCCGAGCCACATGAGATTGTCGTGAACGGTGTTCTCGAAACGGTCGAGAAAGCCGTACCAGCCGAAGAGGCAGACGTTCGCACTCACCAGCACGAGGCGGCCTTGGTTCGCGTTGAGCTTGTCACGGCGGCGAGCGTCCGAGTTGTCCGTTGGCGCGTACAGCGCACAGTCGAAGAACGTGTCTCGGTGGCGCATGTAGTAGCGCCAGTGCATCAGGTGGAGCTCCGGAAACTCTTCCGGGTCGTACCAGGCGCGCGGCCCGGCCCAGGGGTACGCTGCTCGTGGCGGGGACTTGCCCTGCTTAGCGGCGGCCTTCACCAGCTTCTCGACGTCTCGCTGAACGTCGCGGGGGCAGGTGTCCGGCAAGTCGAACAGGTACTGCGGGGTGCGCGAGCTCTAGCGCTGCTTCTTGGCGGCGGGGGCTTCTGGTTATCAGCGCTCGAAGCGGTCGAACGCTTGGTCGCGGGTGCAGGAACTGCTTGAACAGCGAAGAGGTCGTGCGCGGGCGCGGGCTCCGTGTCCATCGTAGTGGGCGCTGGCAACAGCACCACCGTGCGCGCGAGCTCCGCGGGCAACAGCGTGTCATCGGCCAACACGTCCACGACCACATCGTCGAGGGCAGTGATACCAAGCGAGTCGCCGTTAACGAAGATGGAGCTGCGCAGCCGGGCGTAGAAATCGACTTGCGCGCGCAGTCGCGCGTCGGCCTCGGCGCTGGCACCGCGCGTCGTGCGGTCCAAGCGCGAGCGCAGTCGTCGGATGATAACGGCCTTGTTCTCGGCGCGAGACTTGGCCATGGTGGTGGGCTTCTTGGGCGTCTTGCTCTTGTCTCGGCGAAAGCTGAAATGAGGACAAGAAGCCAATGAGCGTGAGCAACTGATGGACAACGACTCGACCGTTGGAAGTTGAAGGACTGTGATTTCCTTTCGGGGAAGGGAGAGACGTGGTTGACGAGCGACACGGTCGTGTCTAGCACGGTGAATTGACGAAATGTAACGGTGGGTTGCTGGATCTACCGAACTACTGAGTGCGACGGCTGCAGACCTCGCCAGTAAACAGGAACGGTGGACTCATGCTGCTCCAAGGGCTGCATTTTATCTTTCGTACGGTGGCGAGATGGAGACGACTATTGAAGTGATCGAGTGGTGCTTTTGGAGTTCGTTGGTGCTGTGGCGCGTCGCCCTCACGGTGCTGTGCAAATATTGATGGGTGACCGTTTTGTTGGTCGTTGGCGCGATTGGCGGAGTGGTGACGAGGCCGCTGTGGAGTATCGCGGGTTGACTGCTCGGCGCAATCTCCCCCTTCGTCTACAAGTGGTCTACGCTGGCGCGGGTGTGCCCTAGGCGCTACCGTCGCTTTGTGAACGGTCCGGCCGTACAAGGTCGACCGGCTGCGGAACGGAGATGGAAAGCGTTCGAAGCAATTTGGGCCACGCCCATGATCGTGTTGGAGGCTCGTGGAGAGCACACCGAAGTCGTCGGCAGGCTGCTACACAAGTGGTTGGAAGCGTATCACGCGTTGTGGTGCGTCTTCTTGCCTGACGTATTGGAGCTCAGCTGCAAGCCGACAGCCAAGTACTGGAAAGGATCCAAGGCCGAGTGCAGACGGACGGTCGACCGTGCGAGCTCTGTGTGTCGAGGGTTCTGGGCGTTCGTGTCGTTGCTGGCTTATGCCCTCTTCTACACGGTCGTGTTCGTGTACGACTTCGTGGAGCGAGTGTGCCAAGGAACGGTGGGCGTCGCAGTGCTCCTGCTGACGCTGAACTACATATTGGCTGATGGAGGTCTGGTCGTCGGCGACGGACTCGTGCCCGACGAGACGGTAATGCGGTGGAGTAGCTATGTGGTGGCGACCTGCGTGGCCAGCCACTTGCTGAAATGGTATGAGGCGACTTCGGGTGGGCGTTCGCCCTTGAAGATGGCCGAGGACCGCTACTCGCAATGGTAGCAGGACTTGGAAGAGCTGGAGCAAGCTAAGCGTTTGAGCGAAGCGTTCTGGCGTGCGGACGGCTGCATAGGCGATAAAAAACCTGTGAGGACGCTCAGTGGGTTGCGCGCCGAACAGCGAGAGCTGCGTGGCAAAATGCAAGCCGACAAGCTGGAAGCTGCTCGACGAGGACGTCGAGTTTCAGTCGGGGAGGATGGGAACGGTCACCACCGTTCCTACTACACGGATGACCGTTCGACCAGCGATCGACTTCTGGAGGATCAGCTGTGGGACGATGCGGTGAGCGGGCAGTCATCCATTTCGGAGGGGCGCTGACTGGCGAAGCGTCGGTTAGGTGGCGCGCTCGGCTGCGATGGAAGCAGTGACGCGAGCGATGGGTGAGCAGTTACGCGAAGGGCAGGACGGAGGTCACGAGCACCGCGTGGCTCGGGACGTGAGCTGTGAGGTGAGCCAAGGACGAAGGGGTGAAACGAGAGCCAGGTGAGCCGGTGACGTGTTGAAGTCGGCACGTGAGCCGACAGAGAGCCGAAAGAAGAAGGAAGCACGAGCTGTCAGGCTCCGTGCGCGGTAAGGAAGTAGGGTCAGTCGTGAATCTGCACTGGAGAGAACAAGTTGATTGCTTTTGCATATTAGCTCTGTTTCTCGCTATTTGTGTCACTGCCTAACCGTTCTAGCTTCCATACAACGCTTGACCGTCCCATCCAGGGCACTCGCGACACTTGTCATCAACCCATTTGTGGTCACCTGCTTTGCCGGCCCTGATGGTCAAACAGGCATCTACGTGGACGCCGATCGGGTGCTACTTATTATTGAGGAACTTTTTCTAACTTCTGAGGAAAGGCTCGCCAAGTCTGAATTTTGAGGAAACTTCTAACTTCAGAGTACCTACGAAACGAGGAGGCGTAGTGTTTATACCCGCACTGAAAAATGAGGAATTGTGCCAAATTCACTAGTACAATGTCCATTTTCCGTACGAAAATGAACATTACGTACACTCCACGACAAAAAGATATGGACACCACCAAAAGTGGCTGTAACTTCGTCGTTTTTTATCGTTTTGAGGTGCGGTTTGGACTAGAGTTGCAGAAGACGCCGATAAAGATCTGCACGCTGCTAACACGCGCGCTTTTGCGCTTCTTCAGGTAGCTCACATACAAATCACTGGTTCTGCCCAGGTGACAAAACTTATGGACAGCTAATCCCCATACAAAATCATTTATACTGGGAACTCCCGAAGAATGAGGGGATGGACAGCTCCCAACGGATTAATTGGGCGTGTAAGCGTAACCTGGCGCAACCTTCGTACTACACCAGCCAGAAGGATGTCGACCGAACAGGTTCAACGGCAACTACTGACTGAGGAAGGAAATGCACGCCAACAGACCCATGCACCAGCTTCAGAAAGTGAACTGCGGCACGCGCGATATTCAAGGGCGTGGCCCCGCAGGGGCCACGCCCTTGAATCACACGGGCCACAGTTCTCCCTTATCATGGCAATTAGCACCGGTACCATCACCAGCGTTTATACCACTGGTGTTCCCAGCCAAGTCGAAGACGACCTAGTCAGGTTTTATTCCCCGTGACCGCGTCTTCCGACAGTGTTGTCATTTCTCGTTTCGCTCTCGAGTTTGCAATGCAGTCGCTTTGGTTCTTGTGCATTTCCTTGGGCTTTCTCGGCTGGACATTTGCTGCTAGTGATGGATACTTCAACGTAGTTCTCAAGCTGTACTGGGACATCCAGTACAAGAACTCGTTCGCCACCATCAAGTTCAAGCATGCCGGACGCTGCTACAGTTTGGATTGTGAGTCGCTGGGCGACAAGGCTGCATCTGCCAAGTGGGACAAGCTCCCGAATTCAAGCTCGGACACGCTCGTCTTCTACAGTAACGCCGACTGCACGGGCCTCAGAGGGACAGCTCAGCTTGCCAAGGCCGCGGGGGTTACCAATTTCAAGAAGTTGACAGGCCAGGTGTCATCGTTCACGGTCAAGACAAAGGCGACTACGAGTAATGCACCCACCACGCGAATTAGTTCGAGCGTCTGTGACTGGATCAGTTTGGGCACCGAAGGTATTTTCGAAGAAGACGGCTACAACTTGAAGTTGTCAACTTCACGCCTGCTCTTATATTTTAAATTCAACGATGATTGCGCACAAACTTCGAAGTAGTATATACTTATAGTTTTTGCGAAAAACCGGTTGGAATATCCTTGAATTCATTTTCTTTATGTCTTCAAAATGGAAATTGGCGTTAGAGGCGGATGAGAACCCAAACATTCTTTTACTTTATTATATCCTTGAAAGAAATCGTTTTTATCGGCTTTGTTTTAACATTCGTGTCTTCACAGTCATGCTAAAACTATTCCAGTTTACAATTGGGCCACCCTATTGCAAGTGGTACCGTGTCACGAACTCTACCGGAGTAAGAGCTCGGTGATCCATAGTTGGCAAATTTAAGAATAAATTGATGTGCTCGTGCGTCTTGTCCTAGCTACAGCTAAACTACTTGAATGTGAATGATGTTGGCTGCTAGCTGGATTCGCACCTTGATCTTCGACTTGAGACTTGTGAAACAGATTGCAGCCAGAAAGAAGGGAGCTGTCACATACCGTGGTTGCCGGAATGTTAATTTCACTGTCAACAGAGTGAACACACAACGAAAAGAGTCGCAGTCGCTTAGCGCCATCATTTTCCTTCACTGCTGCGAGGTTGTTGAAATTATTGAGTGACGAAGAAGTCACCTAAGTATGGCAGAATATAAAGAAGTAGGATGTAGTATTCATTGAAGTTCAATAGGCGCCACTCTCGCCCCGGTTTCTCGGGCTTTATTGGATCTGAATACCACTGTTGAGGAAGTTCTTGTAGCCTTTCGCAAACTTCTCGTATTCCGGACCACCGAAGCCAGCCGTCTTCATGCTTGCTGTGACGGGGTCACACAGCACAATGCACAGAGGAAGTGCGTGCAGATATTACTATCCAGGTGAACAGCAGTTCACCAGTTCCCGGCCTCAAAGGGAACGGTTTGCTACAAAGGAGGTTATAAGACTGACTGTATTTTTTTAGAGGTTAACTTGGTCGTAATACAAACTACAAGTTAACTATACAAAAGCCGAGCTACTGGTACCATGTACCATGTACTCGGGAGAGTGACACCCGTCACTCTTCATGTAATGGGTACACTTGATTGTACCCCGTTACATCCTCCCCCACTTATCTGAGAATCACATCTGATTCTCCAATCAGCTTCGAGAGAATCCGAACACCCAAAGGTCGGATTCTCGGGCGCTGCCGCCGCAAGGCTGGCGCGCCTCATCGTCACGCCCACAGTGACTTGTGCCCGCAGCGGGCACCCCGCGCGGAACCCCCCTGCCCTCGGCGATGTTGGCCGCGAAGCCGACGCGTTTAGTGGCCGTATTCACAGCGCTAGCAGGAGCAGAGTGCCTCGGCACGGGATGCATGTGCCTCCAAACTTGCGGTGTCCCTCGTAGACAACCAGCAGTTGGCGTCGCATGGCCCTCGGGCCCCGCTGGCACGTTCGTGCTGCAGTGCCTCCCGCGAGGGACAGCACCTTTCCGGTCAGCGCGTAGCGTAGCCATGGAGAGAGCTGTGCTGCTCATCTCTGGTCATGACAGCGGCCCGACAGGGCCCCGCTCGTCGCAGCACGGTGTGCCGGTCGGCCTAATACGTCGGCTCGACCCATGGGCTATGGTCAAACGCTGACCACAGCCATGAAGCGTCATGCTTCAACGTCGTGTTTGCTTGAGCGACCATGGCTGCTTCCAGCAACCCGCTCATCATACAGAGCAACGCGGCGGACATGTCTAAAGCCCTGCAGCGCGTCACGGCCATCACGTCGCCGACGCTAAGGTGTCTTCCTTCGACACCAGGGTACCGCAAGGGTACTTCATCGTGGTGTGGGGTGTATTGCCCTCCGTCACCGGCGATCGCATCCTGCGTCGCGGCGACCAACACCAGGTCGGTGTGCGTGCAAGACCGCATGGCACACAGTCATACAGGACCTCAAGGTGTACGAGGGCGCACCTCATACATCAAAGGCACGGCGTGTATGGCACGTACCACGACTGCCATAAGTGCCTCGTGCACCTCAAGTGCCACGTGCAGAAGTAGTGTCGCGTGCACTAGGGGTACCTCGCGTACACCTAGTGCCACGCGCACAGTGAGCGTCACGCACCGCGACTATCTCACAGGTAGTATGTGCCACATGCACGCGTATGGCTTCGCGCCTTACAGGTGCGGCACGTGCCGCGCCAACTGTGAATGTCTGCAAAGGCAACACGTTCGGGTTCTCCCCTCGTGGGCAACACCCATGCTCGGGACTGATAGCTACCTGGCCGGCAGACGTGCCCCGCCCAGCGTAGCAACAGCCTGGAGCTATGGCGTGGTGCTGATGGCTACCTGGCCGGTAGACGTACCGCATCCAGTGTTGCGACAGAATCACGCTGTGGCATGGTGTTGCGTATGTACACATGCCATCGTCCGCGGACCAAGCCGCAGACTGGCTGCCATGTCTTTGCCTGACAGAGGCAGCATTCCAGCAGCGAATGCCCGCGCCATCTTCGGCCCAGCAGCGACAGTAACCGCTGCCAAGGTTGCTGGCCATCGATCGCCATGACCATGGGACCTGAGCAGCGATGCATCAGGTCCAGCACCTTCGTGCAATACTTCGTGAGTGGCTACACCATGCAGCCACTACACTGGCTTCTACGACGAAGCAAGTCTCATGCCAGAGACCTCGGGAGGAAGGGCACTTCCGATCCCCTCCCCCACTTACGATTTGAGCCCCGGCGGGTCAGGCGCTAGCCGGCCGCCTAACCTCGCGCCGCCCTGCAGCACCGAGTCACCGTGCCAGCAGACTCCGGTGGCACGGGCAGCTACCCTTCTTTGGCTCTGGGTCAACATCGTCGACCAGTGCTTGGCATCTACCAGCCTGGATGCAGTTTGAGTCTGCGTGACTTGACGTGTTACTCTGTTACCCACGTCTTCGGGCAATGACACCCATGACAGCGTACGGCTTGTCCTGCATTCAGAGTAGCTGCATGGCATGCACGCATACTCAGACTCAGCCATCTCGGCACCGAGTCATGGACACTTGTTGTCCCAACGCCGCACAGTGCTAGGCGCGACAGACCGTACCAACGATCCCTGCCGTGCAGCGGCCTTTGCCTTCAGACCGAGCATGCTCCTGCATGTGGTCATTGAGGTGTCGCCCTCCGGCAGACACGTTCCACTCGTGATCGACCATGCTTGCCGAGTCGGCGGCGACGCAACATGCATCGCCGCAGGTACGTCGTGTACCCAAGCCACGTCTTCTGTGCGCATGGCCACAGCTGCGCTGGTCGACACCCAGTCGAACGTCATCCATGATGACCGGGTGCCAAGCCCTTGGAGGAAGGAAGTGCTTCCGCGCACTCCTCCCCCGCTTAAAATCAAAGCCGCGCGGCGCCTTCAAGAGGACCGTGCGGCTATGACATCGTGACGGTGTCACGAGCCTCTCAAACTCCGTGTGGTCATCCACCACACGCGAGGAGACCCAAGTGACCTGATCACTAGTCTTGGTCATACAGACCGTTCGTGGAACTAAGTTACCCACGCTGAAGTCGCTTCGAGCGACTCCTTCCGGCTCATGCGGAGCCTTACGGCATCGTGTAGAACTACGTTACCCACACAGGAAGCGCATCATGCGGCTTCACAATCCGTTACCGTCTGAGTGACGCGTGTGGAACTATGTTACCCACACAGGAAGTGCATCATGCACCTTCCTCATCAGTTTAGGTCTGAGTGACCTGGTGTGGAACTGGGTTACCCACACAGGAAGTGCCTGCAGTGCCTTCCTCTTCTGTTATGGTCTGGGTGACCGTCCGTGGTACTTGGTTACCCACACAGGAAGCGCATGCAGCGCGTTCCTCTTCAGTTAAGGTCTGGGCGACCGTCCGTGGTACTTGGTTACCCACGCCGGAGGTGCCTTGAGCGGCCTCCTCAGTATTACATGCTCTGTGCGGAACTAAGTTACCCGCTAGTCAGTGGTCCTTGGTTACCTACCTGGTGGTGTCATCGAACACCACCCTTGTCAATGCTCATGCCGAGCAATGACTCTCAGCACTGGAGTTGCTTGTTGAGGCAGCTCCACATGCCAGGCATAACAGCCCTCGGTTGCAGATACAATGCACCTTCTTCATGGAGATCAGCATGTCAATGATGCCTCCCTTCTTCTTCTTCGTCTTGTCGGACGCATCCAGCGCCCTGGCGGTCCCATCGGACGCCCTTGTGTCTGTCCAGAGGTGGGAGCATGACTCACCAATGCTCTGTCAGACACAGAGGGCCGACCTAGCCTCAAGGCGTTGTCGCGCTACTCGACCGAGAGCCTGTGCAGCATGCACGGCGCACTCAGGGCCAAGTCATACTTGCTCAAGCCGAGGGCATATACGGTTCCATGCCCAGGGCCGGCTTCGGCACGATGTCCGGGACGATGTACGGTTCCATGTCCGGGACCATGTGCGGTTCCATTGCTGTCAGCGCCCTCGAGCGCGGCAGCCAGGGTCACAGCGGACCCCAAGGTTCTTCTTCGGCCCAGCCTCAGTCAATGAGACCTGACTTTGTGCTTAGACTCTCTCGCAGAGTCTCGGCACTTGTGTCGTTATTCCAACCGACACATCTGGCGACGTACACGACGTCCCAGACTCAATCATGTCTAGGGATACCATTACCCCCGCACGCGCACGTGTACTACCGACAACCCACCGTTGTCATTCACGAGCGTCAGTGCTCGCAAGAGACCCCGGGTCTCTGTGGTGTACGCCTTCCGTACACCCATCACAAAGACTCGGGCCAACCCCAGCAAGGCCCTCGTCCTTACTGGTGGTTGTGTCCCCCTTGAGCACCTGACGGTGCATGGCGTCGGCGCCCCCTCGACCCTCTGGTCTTCGGGTAGGTCTTCTTCCCAGACCCAGGCGATGGGCAGACACGTTGATAGTGTCCTAGTCCGCCGCAGCCGTAGCAGCGGGATGAGTACTGCTCAGCCGAACTCAGATCCATGGGTTCTGGTTCGCTGTCAGCGACCACAGGCTGTACAACAGCCAGAGCACCAGCCTGCTTGTGGCTGTACTCTTCCTGGAGGGCGACTTGGATCGCCTCCTCCATGGTGGCGGTGCGCACGCGGAACAACTGCGTGCGCGCAGGACCGACCTTCAGGCCGTCCACGAAGACTGTCATCTTAACGTCTTCCGCCAGCGGGTTCCCCACCAGCGAGGTTGCCAACGTGCGCATCTCCTGTACGTACGCGTACAGCTCGCGCTCCCCTTGTTTGCAGGCAAGGAAGCGCGAGCGCTGGCGGAACTCGTTGTTCGCCGGGAGAAAAGCGGCTCGAAGCTGCTCACACAGCTGAGCCCAGGATGTGAAACATCCAGGCGACATCGCTTCGCGCGTATACACACAAGTCCTGCACGTCCGCCACGATTGGAGAGCGCGAAGGCGACTCGAAGGTTCTCGGCCGAGATGAGACCTGCGCTCATTGCGATCTCGGTCTCCCGGATCCAGAAGTGAAGGTTCTCACCTTCCTTCCCTTCGAACGGAGGCACGGCTAGCCGCAGAGGCTTAGGCTGCACCCGTTTGGGCTCACTCATCTGAGCCAGCAGGTTTCCCTGCACATGAGCGATGAGCCCGCGTTCGTACCCGTCAAACGCGCTCACCCGCTCGACCTGCTCGGCTGGCGTCGCCGCCGCCAAGCTCCGGAGGGCATCTCTTCCGAAGATGCCCGCCATCTTCCGCACCGACTCGAACTGCGAGTCAGTCAAGTGAGGAAACTCACTTCGGGCCATCGTGGCTCACAGACCTGAGCCACCGAGGATTCAGGTAGACCAATCTACCCGCGTAGGCGTAGAATTGACTACAAGTGCTACCAAGTGCGACGGGGTCACACAGCACAATGCACAGAGGAAGTGCGTGCGGATATTACTATCCAGGTGAACAGCAGTTCACCAGTTCCCGGCCTCAAAGGGAACGGTTTGCTACAAAGGAGTAGGTTATATGACTGACTGTATTTTGGTAGAGGTTAACTTGGTCGTAATACAAACTACAAGTTAACTATACAAAAGCCCACGCAATTGGCTTGCGGAGCTACTGGTACCATGTACCATGTACTCGGGAGAGTGACACCCGTCACTCCTCATGTAATGGGACACTTGATTGTACCCCGTTACACTTGCAGTGAGGTGCTCTAGCGTAATCCCCAAGCCTTTCCACGACGCGAACGTTTCGTACAGTTTGACCTTGTCGGCCATCACAAGTTCGCTGTAAAACGTGGGGTCGTTCAATTTATCCACCAACGCCTTGTTCTTCGTCTTGCTGAACGTTTCCGAGCCGGCGTCAAGCTTAGATTTGAACCAGTTCACTCTCTCTTCGTCGTCGTCCAGAGGGCTCGTACGCAGGAATCTTTTGGCGTGAAGGGCATCACCGGGTGTATGCACCGCATCCGGCTGCCCCACCGCTGCCGGGACCGATGCCGCGGTGGATTGGGCGGTGCAGTTGGAGTGGATGGCAGCCGCGTTGACCACGAGAGCGGCAGAGCGCATGCTTGCTTTGAATAGATCGGGGGAGGGGCTGACGAGTCGAAGGTAGGGACGGCCCTACGACGATAGTATGCTTTGAGGGCTACGAAGAAAGTTGTAGAATGAACGAACGGTGCCCTTAGTTGGGGCCTGGACTCGAATGGAGGGTTGGCCCTGATGCACCGCATCAATATGAGTAAATTTCGTACAGCTGCTTAGACAGAACGCTGGGTGTCCCGTCAATATGAGTAAAGGTTCCATACGTGTCGAGAGGTGCTGGGAGGAGTACAAACTTTGGCGTCCAAAGTACACTGCATGTCATCAGTGTTGACATGCTGTGCGCATTTTTTGTCACCACGAACCTACAAGATGATGATCAAATAGGTTCATGATAAAACATGTTGTGCAGAATCACCACAGCTCTACTGAGTGAGAGGAGGTGTTTAGTTCGGGGTACACGGACTGGTGGTTCGTAGTTCTCATGAGCAATATGACACCTCTATGGAATTCAGACAATACGGACATACCCGGCAATACCCAACCGTGTGTTTTGAGCTAGCTACACCATATTTTTCAATTTGCAGTTGTGACTACTTGACGCGGAACGCTAGGCTCCTCGAACGCTAGGATAAAAAGAGTGTCGGGTTAAATTTTATTTAATTACATCTTGAGCTAGGAAGTACGAAGTAGTATACTTACTTCGAAGTATTTTTATCCGTTGGGATCTCCTGGGTTCGCCTAGAAGCCGCTGTATCTACCCGGTATGTCGCTTCAACAACAAAATATTTCTGGGATAGCAATAACCCTATTGTGGCGAGCCCAACACGGATTAATTAGGCACCTCGGTAACTGAAGCGTGAAGCCGGAAAACTGGTCCTGGTAACCGAAGCTAACTGATTGTCGCCTGTGCTCTCCATTTCCATCCATCGTGATAGATGGAGAACATCTGGAAAGCGAGGGCTGTCGAGATCAGCAATACCGAGCTCCCTACAAGTCCTTTTGATCAGCGTTGTCAGTTGTCGCCGCGCGCGGTGCCAATTCAACTATTCTTAAGTAAAAAAGTACAACGCGTGCTTTCAGTGCTGGACTTAGTGCCGAACGCGCGCACCAAGTACGGTCAGCAGTAACGAACCCTCACTTCTTTTATCCCCTCGCGCACAAGTGCGTCTAGTACCAAGTTGCTGAAGTCAACGTTAAAGGAAGAAACAAACAAACGTTTGTTGGAAAAGGTGAGGCGCCGCGGGGATTGAACTCACAACACACCTGTAGAACATAGCTCGTTAGACCGTTACACCATACAGGCGCCCCGGTCGTCGTCCCTTCGGGCTGGGACTTGACACTGTCTGATTGTATATTCCAACAACGTTTGCGTGCGCAGATATGATGGTGGTTAACGGGTGAAAGGTTCGTCAGCATCCTGGTAGGCTTTAAGTCAATTTAGCAGAGAATGCGGCTGCGAAGCAAGCGCAGGAGATAATGGAAACGCAAATTTACAAGAAAAACATATTGTAGTGAGCAAGTAACTAGTAGGGATTAGAGCTTCTTCGTGCAACGTGCCACTTTGCTACTCGTTGAATTGTTGCTTTGGCGATTGCGACGGCGTGGAGATGCCCCCACTGACCTCACACAAACTTCGTTAGCTATTCCAGCCTACGCATAGCTCTCGTTGCTACCGAATGAGGAGCACCGCGTACCAATTAATGAATAGAGTTCAACCGTTTACAAAACAAAACGACTGAAATGCATCGCTTCATTCGTGCACATACATGCTTAGAATTCCGTTCTCATTCTTCGCAGAGGTATGTAGCACTGTGATAGACGAAATGTTGTCATTAATTTGACTCCCAACTATACGGTACGGTGTGACCGGGGCAGCTGTTGTCATTTTAAAATGCGATTTACGTAGAACCTAATGGGTGGCTAGCCCAATTCACGGAACGAGCCTTGACACTAAGATTGCCGCAGTCCGAATACCATCTGTAGTATACTTGACGCTAATCACCTTGTAGTCGTAGATTTTCTGGATGTAATTTTTCAGCTCGGTTGTGAACTGCAGAATTATGATGGAAAAAGCTACGCCGTTTATGCCAACCACGCAAAAGCTAGGAGCCTTCTCGAAGAATGTCGGCTACCCTTGGCTGTCTCCTCAGCAGAACAAGAACAGCGAGGCAGACCCAGGGGCGGACCTACATACAAACTAGGGCCCCCCCCCCCCCCAGATTTTGGGAAGACATCACACTTACCCCCCCCCTATTTCTGAGCTGTCGGATCGACGTACTCCCCTATTTTTGAGCCGCATATAGACTTACCCCCCTGTTTTTGGCCCGGCCCCCCCTCAGATTTTGGTTCTGGGTCCGCCCCTGGTGTAGTGTATTCCAGGTTTCACCTTGGTATCACCGCAGTCATGGACCCGATAGCGTGTCGCTGCTAGCGACGGTGAACCCACGTGAGCCACAGGTAGTGGTAGAACATCTACCTTGTCGCATTTTTCAAGTCCGCTCGACGACGTCGGTTGAAACAGAACCAAATGGCTGTATTAAAATGTGTCACGAGGCCCAAACCACGATGTTGACACACTTACGACAACCCTCCGTTGTTGAATGGACTCACGCTGTCGCGTTCACACTGGTGTCGAAGGTGGTCAACTCGTCGCAGATACTGGTTTCCCCATTCTCGATTTTATTCGAGGTTACGACCACCATGAAAGACGAAATCGCATCGTTGATGACGATATCCTCGAAGGTCGACACGCCGCCCATAGTAGTCCTGAAGCGCTTGCTCACGCCAATGCAGCCCCCGTCGATGTAAAAGACCACGTGCGCGTCGGGATCATAGGCGTAAGTTGCTGTCTTCGGCAATCCCGTCCACTTAGCGGATGATACCACATCGTTGTAGCCTTCGCACACCAAGTTGAAGCAGCGGTTCGACTTGGTAATCTTGATCGATGCGAGGCTGGAGCGATAGTAGGTGTCTCGGTAGAGCTCCATCTGTCCGGAGAAGTCACCTGCAGCGAGTGAGGCGGCGACAGTCAGGGTGAGAAGGAACGAGGCCATCAACTCACACATTGTAGAGGGCCGTGAACACTTCTTGGTCTTGGGAGGGCGCAGATTGAGGAATGCGAGCATAAGACAATGTATTTGGTAATATTCATCGTCATCCGTGCATTTATATCGAAACATGACTATCCATATCTGTTTTCCCAGTATGTTAATAAAGAATTCGTCGCTGCTTCTTCGAATTCCATGAAGTATGCAGTTATCTGACGTACGAACGTACCTCGGAGTGCCCTTTGATTAATATTCCTGGTGAGCTTCCTTTGACGAGCGTATAATTAAGGGTGGTGCCTCACTCAAAGGGATGGAAGAGACCGATCCAGACCGGTGCCCCCTGCCCACAAGATGAAATCAGTAATGACTGACGAAGATAGGTCGCATCCCTGATTTTCTCTGCTGGTGTGTGCGGTCATATACAAAACTCATTTTGGTAGAAGTTTATGTATCAGGAAATACTCAGCAGGATCAAATGCTCTGTATGATGCAAGTTTCCGAAACGACGCCTGGTTCCGAATCTTATAGTAAAAGCCGAAAAGGGACCAGGCCAATGCACATAAGAAGCCTCACCGTTTTCCACAGACCAAATTAATTAGCACTGACTGGGCACCTCTACCTTTAACGTCCATGTGGGGGTAGACCTCAAGCTCGCCATAAATATCTCAGAATGGATTCAACTAGTGTTCGCTGCAAGCACAAAAAAATAAAACAGAAGATAGTTGCTGCGTCGAACCCACTGTTCTAACCCAGCTAGCCCAGCTAAAACTAACGCACGGGAATCGTAATCTATATTTTGGGTTGATTTGCCGCACATACGGTTTTTCCAATTATCGATACCATCGGAGTTTGCAGCGTGAAAGACTGTAAAATTCTGCTTGATATAAGTTGAGAAAGCATGCAGATTTTTAACCAACCTGTTATTTGCAAAAAATATGAAAATCACCAGATCCTGTATGTTCACGATTCGCAGATACAAGCATAGTTTGCGAAGCTTTACCTCACGATACATAGCGCCTTGCAGCTCCCAACCGTTTTCACTTCCCAATTCGCGTTCAACTAGTAGCAATGCAGCCCCTTTGGTACTGGTGCATCTGCTTGGGGCTTCTCGGCTCCGCGCTCGCTGCTAGTGACGCAGACTTCAACGCAGTCCTCAAGCTGTACTCCGGCGCCAAATACAAGAACTCGTTCGCCACCATCAAGTTCAACTACGCCAGCCGCTGCTACAACTTGGTCTGTGACTCTCTGAACGACAAAACAGCGTCTGCCAAGTGGGACAAGATCCCGACCTCCAGCTCGGACACGCTCGTCTTCTACAGCAGAAGCAACTGCAAGGGCCTCAGAGGAACCGTTCAGCTTTCCAAGTTTGTGGCTGTTAGGAACTTCAACGAGTTGGCCGGCAAGGTGTCGTCCTTTATGGTCAAGACGAAGGACACGACGAGTGCTGCAATCTCCAAGCGGGGTAAGTCGAATGTCTGCGACTGGACCAGTGTGGGCACGGATGGGATTCTCGAAGAAGACCCGACTCTAGCTCTCTCCTTCTGATCTGATCGCTTCGGTGCAATGGACTCTTTGTCTCCCGAGCTACAAATTTGCACAGCGTTGAGTAATTTACACGAGACTAACTAAAAAATAATGCACAGCATGTTACTGGCGCACATTCTGTTTTAATATCCTAGGCTTGTAGTCAATCGTTACTACTGGTCATCGTGTAGTCACAGATCTTCTGGACGCCATTCTCCACTCCAGTTGCGTACTGTAGAAACATAAAGGAAGAAGCCACATCGTTTATTCCAACAGCGCCAAAGTTCGGGGCCTTCTCAAAGGAGGTCGGCCACCCTTGACTGTCTCCTGTGCAGTCGATGCCTCGGTAGAACCTGAGCAGTGAAGTCGTCCCGCCAGGAAAGGAAGCTGCAAGCGGCAAACCTGTCCACGAAGCCGACGAGATCGCGTCTTCGATGTCCCCGCAGGCCAAGTTGAAGCACAAGTTGGCCGTGTTGAACGTGATGGTGATCAGCAGTGACCGGAAGCTCGCGTCCTTGTAGAGCTTCAGCTGCCCTGTCCACGTAGAGCCGTTCACCGCGGACTCGTCTTCCGAAGTCGCATCAATAGTGTAAGGGGTTGTGCTGTGGACGGCGGTAACCAGGAACACTGCCATGAAGTAGCTTAGTGCTGCTAGCAACTCCATGATCTGTGGGTTGCGCAAGTTACAAACTGAGTAGCGCGTGCGCTGCCGATAAAGACTGTTACCCGGCTCAGCGTCAACCAGGACCCAAACACCAACGCAACGAGGAATTGGGCGCTTACAGGTTCAAACAAACACAACTGGATGTATTAAATGTGTTACTGGGCCCAAAACACGTAGTTGATTCACTTACAACAAGACGCCGATGCTAAGATGGACTCAGACGGTGAGTTCACGCTGGCACGGAGGGCTCTCGAGTTACTGCAGATGCTGGTTTTCCCATTCTCGATCTCGTCGGAGGTTTCGAGCACCATGAAAGACGAAACCACATCGTTGATGTCGTATCCACGAAAGACGCCACGCGGTTCCACGCAGTCGAGAAGCTCTTGCTCTAGCCCGTGCAGTATGTGTCGACGTAGAACACGATGTGTGCATTCTTCTCGCCGTCGTAGCTTGCCGACGTCGGCAGTCCTGACCACGAGACGGACGATACGGCGTTGTTGTAGTCACCGCACGCCAGGTTGAAGCACCGGTTAGACCTCGTGAAGGCGAAGAGTGCGAGATTGTTCCGGTAGTTGATGTCTCGGTAGAGATTGATCTGCCCCGAGAACTCGCCCGAGGTGACCGAACATGAAGCTGCAAACGCCAACAAGAGTAACAGCGAGGTCATCGTCACAGGCATGGGCGTGAAAATGTCTGGGCATTGGAAGGACGCAGATTGAAGAATGAGAAAGTGAAGACACAGGATCGTTCTCATATTTATCAAGTAATCGTTGGTATCGAACTGCGCTCCAAGATTCTAGTCAGCTAAAATACTTCATGTCACGGCGCTCTGACTTAGAAGATGTGGTTATACGGTTGAAGTCAACATAGGATCAACCGTACCACTTGAGGTTGTGCTTCCATGGACGAGCGTGGAATTACCGGTGTTCGCGTTGATGGTTGCTCGCTCCGTGTTGCCCTCGCAGAAGGTGATGGTCTTGTCTACGTCGATCCCATTCCTGGCGTACACGATCATCGACGTGATTCTGTTGTCCATTCCATCCTTTGCGAAGTCTGACGGGTATGCATCCCCACTGGCCTTGTATCCTTGCGACGTCCCTTTGCAGTCCTTGTCCATGAAGAACTTGATAACCGGTAGAGTGCCGTCGGAAGAAGTAGGTGTCCATCCGAGCCAAGTGGCGGACGAAATGACGTTGTTCACGCCGTCACACAGGAGGTTGTAGCAAGTTTGAGTCTTGACGTCGTGAAGACTCAAAACGAGATCGCTGAAGTGGGTATCTTGATAGAGGCCGATCCAGGTCGACGTCCCCGCGACACGAGACGAGATCAAGAAGATGCACAAGGTGAAGAGGGTGAGTGACATCCCCCCATGATCTTGCTGACAGCGTTCGTGGCCAAAAGTACATTGACGTGTGGTAGAAGTTTCTGTATCAGGGGCTACGGAAAATATTTGAACGCTTTGTATGACGCAATTTCTTCCTCAACACACCTGCGCAATCAGCAGTTCCGAACGGCAAAGTAAGCCACCACGTCACCTCTTGCATCATCAGAGGTTTAGAGCATTCGAAAAAAAAAATACATTAAGCCTTACCGAAAAAATGTGTTGCATCAAACGTGTCTAGTGTACACATACGCTTTGGATTTGGTTTTCACTTTTGCGCTAAGGATTGCCACAGACAGCGCTAAGTCACAGAAACAAAACGGCATTCGCAGCAGGTAGCAAATTGCTGATTATTCGGCGGACTGGAACGGATGGCCAGAGAAGCGTCTGGTCATGCGGTGCCGCCGCTCCTGGTATTTTTCACGAAAAAGAACTGCAAGGGACCACGGCTACAAGACCTACGGCGAGACCTTCCCCACCGACTTCGCAGCTGCCGGCATCAACGACAAAATCGTGTTGCTCATCGTGTACGACAAGAACTTCATCGATGTTGACAAAACCATCGCGTTCTGCGAGAACCGTGTATACGAGCAATTCCTCGAGTAGTGTTAACGCTTCGGCGCAGTGCGAAGGAATTATAGCCCCCTCAGCCGACAGGGTTATCATTGGATACAATAAAATATCGGACCTGCGTAGCTTAAATGGTTTGCTCATAGCGCTACTGCCAGCCCGCTCATTCATAACACCAGTAGCTATGAACTTGCTACTGCAACTAAACTATTTACACCATGAACGAAGACGAGTTTCACTTATCAATCGATTGTGTCGGGGTGTTGCAACCCCAAGCGACGTATTCCGCACTTTAGCGTAGTGCTTCGAACTACTGAATTCATGTTTGTTTCAACAACATCACTAACCTTGCGTAAAGTTCAGCTGAGAGTGGCAGTGTGACTATGCTTATGATAACTGACTGACCTTCTTCATCTTCTTCACCCGTGGGGCTGGTTTTGCCTGCCTTCAGTCTGTAGTAGAGGTGGTGGTGTTGGCCATTTCACTCATCCCACAAATGTATTCAACGTGATCAGTCCCTCCGTTCTTTATCACGTTGAACGATGAGATCGCGTTGGCTATCCCGTCCAGTTGAAAGTTTGTCGGGAAGTTAGGATCGGCGTCGTCCTGGATGCCGACTTTCCAGTACTTCATTTTGGGGGCCTTGCAGTCATGGGTGCTGTAGAACAGGATGTTGGTGTTGCCGGTGTCCGGAAGCCTGCTCCACTTGGCGGACATTGCGTGCTCGTCGAGGGCTTCGCAGTTGGTGAAGGTGTAGCAGGTGTCGAACGCTACATCCGTGACTCTCGTGAGTCTGTGCTTGAAGTTTACATCGCTGTAGAAATCCACGTGGCCGGCGTGGGTCGTCTCCGCCAGTGTAAGACCGAGAAGCAGGAGAACAATCGTCGAGTAGCCAATCGTCATTGACGCGGTTGCGGTTGCGTCGGAGGTGGCGAAAAGGTGAGTGAAATGGTCGGTCGTCGGTCGGTACAATGAAATGTGTTGAATCCGTATCCACCCACGTGCCCGCATGCAGCATCAGTGGTTTTATCAGTTCTAGAGCAGTCGTATAATCTGCGGTACTTGAAGCACAATGAGTTGTATTATCATGCAAGGGAAATCTCTATTAGTAGTCCTGCCCGTCTAGTTTTTGTTGGGGCGAACACTACTCAATTGATGCGGCTCGAGTGTCGACCGTGGCAGGTTCGGGGCATGTCGACTCCACACTTGCAACATTCCACGCATTGATCACCAGAAAAGAAGAAATGTTGAAGGGGAACAAGGTGGGGAAGCCCAGATCTCCGTCACTCTGCGAATCGATTGGCCACCATTGTACTCGGAAGAGCAATTTCGGTCGCTGTAGAACGCAATCATAGCTGCTCCGCCCTCGAACGCGATTCCGGTCTCTGGCAGACCCTCCCACTTGGCAGACATCGCAGCCGAGGACGAGTCAGCGCAAACGAGATCGTAGCAGACGTCCGTTTGCACATCATTGACGCTCGCGAGCTTGAGCTCGAACGCTGAGTCTTGGAAGAGCTCGACGTAGCCCGCTTGAACGCACAACGCCAACGAAATGCCGACAGAGGCTCCGAAGGTAGCTTTTTGCCGGAGAGCTCTTGATGGACGTGTCGTCATGAGTAGTTCTAGTTCGATGGCGGAAGGACAAGTGAGAGCAGCATTGAAGCGCGCTATCTTTGATCTGTGACAGTTGGCACGGGATGAAATTCTCCTCCTGTGACAAAGCATGGGATGAAGGTGAATCTCACGAATCTCCAGTACGTATCTTTTCGTACTAAAACGTTGGGAACGAGGCGAGGTTTCGTTGCTAGCCTCCACGCTCGTTAGTTGACGATAACCGCTTAACGGGGCTGTCCTACGGATGGAGAAGCTTTACTACACTCACTACAGCTGGGATCGTGTGGGTTCTGTCGGGGAATGTATTCTTAGTTGCTCTGAAACGACCGAGTGGACACGATCAAAAAGATCAATCGGCGTTTCCTGCATTGCAGTTCCTTGACGCACAACCGGTCAATCCTGCAATGATCAACTTTGTACCTGGTAATGTTTAAAATCTACTCAGTTTTCCCAACTCATAGTACATAGAAGTCCGCGTCGTCATAATTTAAACGAAGAAAATAAATTGGATTTCTGGCAAGGAGCAGTACTTTTGCACGAAACAGTAAAAGCTGAGGGGGTCTTTGCCAGCCGGAGCCTCACAAACGCTAAGCCAAAGCAGCGATTGTGCCATTGTCAAAAGCGCCACTTCCGCTTCCAGATGCGCTGTTGTTGATAGTCGCAGCAACGATTTCACCGGACTCGGTCGCACAGATATCCCGCCTGCCGTTCCCAACCTTCTTCGTACTTTTGTGCCAGACCATGAAGGACGAAACCTCGTCGTTGATCCCATCCAGCCGGAAGTTCGAGGGGAAATAGAGGTTGTCGTCGCTCTGCGTCTTAGACCGCCACCAGACGTTGCGCTCCAGGCAGTCTCGGTCCGTGTAGAACGCGATCATTGCGTCGCCGCCGTCGACCATCTTCTCAGTCAGTCCGCCCCACTTGGCAGACGTGACGGCGTCATTCAGCTTCTTGCGTGCGAAGCTGTAGCACTGGTCGCCTTGAAAGCCTGTGCTTGTAGTCTGCACCCTTGTAGAGCTCCACCCAACTCGTTTGAGCTGTGGCGATGAACAGAATGCTGACGATGATGAAGCATGGAGTTGCAAATCTTTCATTAGATCTGTGTTGCTAGTCGAGTTGTTGGCTGTGAGGACAATTGAGAAGTGCGAGATAGGCATTGGCACGGGTGTAAATAAGTATCACAAAGGCAATTCATTTGAAGGATGGTGTTACTGGATATGGAGATTCCGCAAAAATATGTGGACAAAATGCGAGAGCGCGCGCTTCGAAGTATCATCCTTAACTTGATTTCGCGTGTGTAGGCTGAGGGTTGTACTTGCTGCACATACCTGTCGGTAGTTGAGAGAAATGAGCGGGTGTTTCGAAGTACGTACAGAATACGTTTGTAGATCGGGTACTATAGTTGTCGGCAAGTTCGGATGTGTGTTGAGGTTAGAAGCGCAACGTGGGAGACCGCACGCGATGTCAGGGGCGATCAGGCCCTCTAACTGTTCCTAAGCACCTACAAATAAAATGACACTGCCTTGATTCAGGGTGTTATTGCAAGGAGGTTTATTGTTGTAGAATTATTGTTGTAGAAAGTTTGAATGAAACAGAGAAGGTTATCGCACCACCAGCACGAAGGGCACTAGAACCGCAGCATAATACCTTAGCGAGTTATGACAACATAGTGTCTGTGGATTAACACTACCGAGTTATGATAACACGGTACGTTACAGCACCGTCGTTACTGTCCATAATGCACTTGACTGCATTTTAGCCAATAAATGCGCCTTATCCTTATTGTGTGGGGTTTTGATAAATGCTGACCTGTTTGTTTGGGTTTTGATAAATATCCCTTCTCCACCCGTGAGGGTTATGGCGCCTCCGTGGTGGTGGTGTTGGCCATTTCTCTCTCTCCACAAACGTATTTCAGGTGGCCAGCCCCTTTAAGTTTTCTCACGTTGGACGCTGAGATCGTGCCGGCCATTTCGGGAAGTCGGGATTGGCGTCGCTCTGGCCAGAACTTAATAATCGGAGTCTTTAATAATTGCAGTCGTAGTGTAGGAAGTACTTGGAGCATGCATGTACGACCTCGCTATTGAACGCGTGCCAGACGCGTTTCGGCCCCCCGCCGGGGGCCTCGTCAGTGGCTTTACCAATCGAGAAGTGAGCTCTCTCTCTCTACGTGTCCTCCTGGGCGGTCGCCCCTACCAAGCTTCTAGAATCTCCTAAAGATCTGTCGTGGGTACGACTCTGGTGTCGTAACCGTGTACCCCCACCATGGGGTTACACCTACGTGCCTGCAGCACTTCCAACACGTAGCTGCTGTAGAACGCATAGGTGGTGGTCCCGGTATCCGGAAGTCCACTCCACTTGGCGCACATGGCGTGTTCGTCGACAACTTCGCACTTCGAGAGGCTGTAGCAGGTGTCAGTGAACTTCGTGAGTCTGTGCTGGAAGTTGACCTCGCTGTAGAGATCCACGTAGCCGGCTTGGGCCGTCGATGTTAGTGTAGCACCGAGAAGAAGGAGAACAAACGTAGAGTAGCGCCATTGATGCTTGCGGTTGCGTTGGAGGCAGCGAAAACTAGAGTGAAGTGGCGCCCAGAGCGGGACGTCGGTAGCCAACCATAGAATGACTCGTGTAGAATGTACACTCAGCCAGCTTCTTTGATTAAAACACTATCAGTTCGAGAAGTTCTACTGACTTGGTTATCTGCCGAATGTGCTGCGATCTGGCGTTCACCGACTCAGACTTCGCTGCGATGTATGCCCTGTGGAATGACGTGGAATCGTGTTCAGAGGAGCTGGTATGATTGCATTTTACACGGAGAGAAAGCGCACTCCTCTCGACGTAATGACCCTCGCGAGTTTGTGCTTGAAAGTTGCTTCTTGAAATACATCAACGTTGCCCGCATGAACGTGCGTTGTCAGCATAATGCCGATTGTAGCCGAGACGCTTGGTAAGCGCGTCGACATTCAGTAGTTAGACGCTGGAAGAGGAAGTGAAAGTGTCCAAAAGGTTAGTAGTATAAGCTATCCTCGATCTGTGACAGTGGATGGGATAGAGTTCTCCTGCTGCGTCAACGGATGGGACGGCGGCGATTTTCGCGAATCTTCAGTACACGCAGCGCACGTTTATTGACGATAACCGATTAGCCGATTAGTTTGTTATCTACACCAAAAGCCCTTGCATTAAAACAAATCGATAGAGGCTATCGGAATGGAACCAGTTTATTGTATTTAAACGAAAGCAATATAAAAAAACGAGTCGGATTCTCGAAGTCTACGCTAATGCAGTGATCGTGTTGTTATCAAAAGCCCCGCTTCCGCTTCCAGACGCACCATCGACGGTCGCATTCCTTTCAGCGTCGATGGCACCAGACTCTGTCGTACAGATATCCCACCCGCCCAAGCCAGTCTTCTTCGTGCTCTTGTGCCAGACCATGAAGGACGAAACCTCGTCGTTGATCCCATCCAGCCGGAAGTTCGAGGGGAAATAGAGGTCGTCGTCGCTCTGCGTCTTGGTCCGCCACCAGACGTTGCGCTCCAGGCAGTCTCGGTCCGTGTAGAACGCGATCATTGCGTCGCCGCCGTCGACCATCTTCTCAGTCAGTCCGCCCCACTTGGCAGACGTAACGGTGTTGTCCAGCTTGTTGCACGCGAAGCTGTAGCACTGGTCGTACCAGATGTCCTCGATCCTCGAAAGCTTGTGCTTGTGGTCGGCATCCCTGTAGAGCTCCACCCAGCTCGTTTCAGCGGTTGCAACGAACAGGATGCTGGCGAGGATGCAGCTCTGGAGTTGCAAGTCTTTCATTAGAGCTGTGTTGCTGGTCGAGTCGCTGTCTATGAGGAAGATTGAGAAGTGCGAGATGGTCTTTGGCTCGGATGAAAACAAGTATCAGTAGTGAATTCATTTGAATGGATATGCAAATACTTTACTACTGGATTGCTTCAGGATTTGGGGGTTCCATAAAGCCATGCAAAAAATTGGTGTGTGGATAGAAAAAAAGGTAGATTCATATACTTCGAAGTAAATCAGTCTCAGATAATTAGAACCGTTTGTAGGCCTTTGAAACCCGTTTTGGCTGCAAGCAATAGAGGTATGTACGATGGTGCGACAAATGACCGCTGCAAAACATGTTGAATATGTTGATCAAGAGAAGGAAGTGGATGAAAGTGCATTCGTGCAACCAAAAGATGTTTTCAAAGATTTAGTACCATCACTCCCACCTGAAGCTATCCCCGCATCCAATGCTTCCTTTCGAGTTGTAGTGTTCGAAACGACGGCACTCTCGGACGCAGAGCAAATGTTGAGCAAGCCTCCGTCGGTTCCTGTGTTCCAGACCTTGAAAGACGAGATCGCACCGCCGATTCCGTCCAGCTTAAAGTTTGCGGGGAAGTTGGTCGTGCTCTTGTTCTGCGTGTTGATAGGCCACCGGCGCACCTCACCGCCGCTGCAGTCGTTGTCCGTGATAAACGATAAGACGGCGATTCCACCTTGGAAGAGGCTGCCCTTCTCAGGGAGGCCACGCCAAGTTGCGGACGTTACGACGTCGTTCAGTCGGTCGCACTTGAAGTTGTAGCACACGTCAACGAGCACATTCTCGACCCTCAGGAGCTTGTTCTTGAAGTTGGCGTCCTTGTAGAGATCGATGTAGCCGGCTTCAGCCGTCACAGCAAGAATGGTCGCTATAGCCACTAGCGTTGCTACCAATCGAGCCATTCTGGAGTGGAAGGTGCTGCCGCCGTGTATAATGGGTTATGAGCAGCATTCGCACGGCCACAAAACTGCATCTTATGTTGCCAATGTTTTGTTTTTCGAATATCAGTGGCACTGCGTATTTAGCAGGTTGGTTGTCTCGATATACAGTAGTTTTGATCTGGACCTCGACGGCTGCAAGTACATTTTGAATCCAAGTTTTTCGAATCCTGAAGGTATTCCATAGCAGAATTACTAATTCCAATACTCCGTCTCTATCAAAATCCGGGGCAACAACAAAAATCTCATGGATTGTCCGGACGATTCGAAAAGCTGCTGCCATATTGATTGTCACGTGATGTCGGTATGTCTCTTAACGTGTGAAAACGGCGAAACCCTGACTCTAGTTGCTCTCGATAGCCGTCGTGATTTCGTATTATACTTATATTTTGATGGCACCGAGGTCTTACTATTATCGTTCGACCACGACTGATATTGGATGGGGGGTTATCCTTTTCTTGAAATGCATTTTTACTTAGACGTATCCAACGTAGCCTCAACCTTATCGGTAGGCTTAGCTTCAGCCCCCTAATAGTCTCAAGCAGCAAGTGTGCGACTCACCAGGGCTAGTAGTAGTGAATCGAACTCATGGAATCGTATAAGTAAATATGTTTTTATTGCAGGTGGTAGTTTATCCACTTCTCGTTAACTTTTTGCGTATTATCTTTTTTCACGAGGCTATGCTTCGCACCGACTGGCTATCGATATGTTGCTCCTTAATGAGCGCGATATACCTACGAATGGTTCTCGATGAAAAACTTTCTCAAATCGTAGACCATGTATTGTGTTAGTAGTTTAGATTTACCGGATCCTGCATGCAGTCTACATGTCGGTCTTCTTACGGAATCTCGACTGCTTTACCAGAGTACGAGCTGCTTCCCCCAGCGATCGTTGTATTTCCAGCGCCGTCGGTCTCGGGGAGCTGGCAAACGTTCATCGTGCCAGCATTGCCTCCTTTATTGAAGACCATGAAAGAGGAGATGGCATCGTTCAGCCCGTCCAGTCGGAAGTTCTGTGGGAAGTACTTGTCTTTCTTGCTCTGGGTGTCGAAGTATCAATGCTTGGCCGTCTCGTTGCAGTCCGTGCCCGTGAAGAACGCGATCGTAGCGAGTCCACCCTCAAAGTAGCTCCCAGTCTCGGGGAGGCCACTTGGCGGACGTGATGGCATTGTCCAGGTCCTTGCATGTGAACCTGTAGCAAGCATCAAGAACCACGTCGTCGACCCTCGTGAGCTTGTGCTTGAAGTCAGCGTCACGATAGAGATCCACGTAGCCAGCATCGGCTAGCACCGCCAGCATCACACTGACAATAGTCACGACGGTAGCCTTGGATATGTTGGGGTAGAGCTTGGTTCTCAGGTACTCGAGAAATTCAAGAATGGTGATAAGTGCCATATCCTCACCGTTCGTACACTCAATCCAGTAGTATTCCGCACGAATTCCTTTTACGCTGGTCATATCGTAGAAACCAAAGATCCTGGATAATGCATGACTCATAGCGCACAGATTTGCAAGCTACGCGCATGCTCGAACGCTAGTTAGCATGAATTGTTTCGAAGCTGTATTAATGTCACAGATATTGCAACATGGCGAATATTGAATTTGAGTTTAAAGTGCTTACTTAATGAAAAAGATAGTGGTCGTGCTGCGCTAACACCTAAAGATAGCCAGCATTGCTGCAGCTGCCTGAGTTGGATGTCGTGTTCGCAGCGGTGTTGCTTTCGTGCAAGTCGCAGATGTAGAGTGTTCCTGCGTTCCCTCCCGTGCTTTTGATCTTGAAGGACGAGACAGCGTCGTTGATGCTGTCAAGTCGAAAGTTTTCGGGAAAGTAAAGGTTCTTCTTGCTCTGCGTTTTGACCTTCCACACGCCGTAATCCCCCAAGCAGCTGTAGTCGACGTAGAATCCGATGCGGGCGCCTTCATCTGGGTAGTAGGTGCTGGTCTCGGTCAAGTCGTGCCACTTCGCCGACGTGATCACATCGTCCAAAGGGGACTTCTCTCCATTGGGGCACCTGAAGATGTAGCAGACGTCGGGGATCACGTCCTCGACCCGCTTGAGCTTGTTCTTGAAGTATGCGTCACGGTAGAGGTCCACATATCCTGCCACAACTAGTGTCACGAGTATTGAGAACGCAAGCACCACCAAACCAGCATTGCGTCCAACGCTTCCGGTCGTCATTGCTCTGGGGACTCGCCGGGTGGTGGAGAAAACTGGAAATAAAGTGCGAATGTGCAAACTGCGAGGTATTATACAGTAGAATATCATCCAGTGTTAGCTCCAGTCTGACGGGTCATAAAATACTAGGTGGTGTTTACTTCGAAGAAGGCACAGAAGGTGTGTATCTAGAAACAGTTTTGAAGTCCAAAAGCTAAGCTAAGGAATTCTGCACCCAGCATCGAACTGAAAGCAGATTTGTTTTCTTTATGCGGCCTGAATTCATTATTCTCCCTCAGCCGCCATTGAGGGTCGCTTTTTTCAGTGTACTCGCCTTGCCCTCTGGGGCGTGCAAAGAACGCATTTCTTTTTCGAAAATTTATTAGTTTTCTTGTTACTGCACTAGTGTTTGGAGTTAAAAACCCTCACATTCATTGGAATCGCTCGTACTGTGGTGACACATGCTAAAGATTGTCCGCGCTGCCAATCCTGCCGCTGCCTCAGTTCGATGACGTGTTTGTAGCAGACGTGCTCTCGTCCAAACCGCAAACAAAGCGCGTACTAAGGCGCCATCCTGCATCTCGTCCCGTACTGATCACCCTGAAGGATGAGATGGAGCCTTCCAGTCCGTTGAGTGCGAAGCTGTTTGGGAAGGAAAGGCTCTTGTCGCTCTGCGCTTTGACGTTCCACGTAGCGTAGCCGCCCATGCAGTTGTAGTCGGCGTAGAACCAGATCTGGGCGTCTCCATCTGAAAAGTAGTCGCTGGTCTCGGTCAAGCCGTTCCACTTGGCCGACTCGATCACGTCGTTCAGAGGGGATTCGTGTCCGGCGCAGATGAAAGCATTGCAGATATCGGCAGTCACGCTCTCGACCCGCTTGAGTTTCGTCTTGAAGTATGCGTCACGGTAGAGGTCCACGTAGCCTGCCGCAGCCAGTACCACGAGTGCTGCGAGCATAATCAGCACCAAACCAGCATTGTTTCCAAAGCTTCCAGTCGTCATTTCCTCTGAGGCGGTGGAGGGGGCTGGGAAGAAATGAAAATGGAGTGAGAATAGGCAAACTGCGTGCAGCCGGCGAATGATGTTCGTATCGTACACGCTTGAACTTCTAGGTGGCGTTTACTTCGAAGAACCAGCACTATCCACAAGCTGTGTATCGAGGGGAAAAAGATCCGACAGTGTCACCAGATCGCCAACACGAAACTCCCGCGGCTTGTTCGTGACATCACGCTCCTGTTAGATTACCATGAAGTAATAAAATAATCTGCACACGTTCCGCGTTTTAGTGTCGTGTTAGCTGGATCCAGACCCCTTGCTTAGCCAAGCAAACTGAAAACTGTAGTCGAAACCTGGTGCGCAAAGCCCTCAGCTAACGAACTCATGCCAATCAAGTCGTATATATGTGAACTAACTTACCGTTGTGTCGGAGAGATGCCTGCACATTGTAAAATACCCAGAAAATGAGGCTAGTCTGGACCCTGTGAAACTGCTTGTCCAGGACAAACACGAGCTGCGTAATCGGTCGAGCACCTAGCATACGCTTGAGCATGAATATCAACAGTAGCAGAGATGCCAGCTGCATGAAGCAGTAGAACATCACATTTGCCAAGGTCTGGATCAGCTGCGCCTCGTCCATGCCATCAAATACAGCGTAGTAGTCTCGGTTGGGCAGTCGGTACGTGATAATCAAGTAGATTGCTGAAATAAAGCAGCATACGAGTTAGGCAATGGTACAGTATTTTGTCCCCCCCCCAAGAATACTTACTGAAGACGAGCGGGATCGTCACTTCGACGTATTTGAGAAGGATGAGAAACTCAGCCATGTAGAGGAGTTGTTGCACCTTGCACGTATATCTCAAAGTGTGTGGCACACTGGAGATGGCATGTTCAATTTGTTTGGCCTCGTCGACTGTGGGATGCACGATGGCTCGATCCTGCTTTTGTCTTATATACCGCGTCCAGAGCAAAGAAGGCGGGGTCATTATCTTTGCTACTGTGAGTGACGCTTGTGTTGGGCTGGAATCCGTTTGGGTGCCCTCGTTATCGTGATAAGAGGCTAAGCGTATTATTTCAGCAATCGTAGTGACCCGAGTACTCGCCTGACTCTCTTCCTGCTGTAACAAGGCCCCGGCGCGCTCCAGAGTTGTTAATGGGCGACCACCAGCAACGTCGTAGCTGATTCGACCACGAAGACTTCTCCATCGCCTTTCCTTGTCGATGCAACTTTCGAGTTCGTTTAAGCCGCGACAAATATAATGGATATCCCGAAGCGATGATGCCATCAGAATGACGTTTGCTGTCGTGAACAATAGCGTCGTCCTGAATGTTGGCGAGTTCTGCATACAGTACGAGACAAACAGCGAGTTGAATAGCTCCGCGTTGAATACCACAAGCTCTGGGGTCTCGTCCGCCAAGTGGTCCGCCATCCGGGCGAAAAGATTCCGCATGAACAACTTAATTACTGGCAGTAGTAGAGAGAACGCAGCGTGACCATCGTTGGAAAGTGAGGTGACAGTCGAGTCCGACGGTACCCAAATCGTTGCTCAAGTCGACGAGATCAAGGTGGTGGCGCCTGTGGTGGCTCTACTTCTGCAGCATGTCGCGCTCGACACGAGCGAGTGGAGTTCTGCGGACGTCGACAACATGCAGACGGCCATACTATCGAGGGTATTGGGAGAAGGGAATAACGAGGGAAGCCGGTCTATCAGCTGTATACTTAGTGGACTGATCGACGAACAGAATCATCCCGAGCCGTCTGCAATCTGCAAGTGGGTGGATCCTCAGTCGGGATCAGAGACACAATTTCCTCTCCAACACGCGGTCGACTACGCCTTCTACATCGACGGTGAAGCCGGTGGCGCGCCGGCGGCACTTGGCGAATCGTTTTGCCGCGCACACGACGAATATGTGGTGTCCACCGTACACAAGAGGTACAATGCCAATCTGGCAATACCGAGTCATGTGAACTTTTCGACCCCTTCAACGATGATGACGACGGTTTTCCAGATGCATCGGACCCGATCGCCAGACTGGTTCCAGCCACTGTGCAAGCAGCAGGATCAAAACGCAGCCAATCCCTCCATGGTACCAGTGAGGAAGTTGCTGAGCCTCCACACCAAAGACGCCGTACCACAGAGGCCACTGATTCTCTCCACAAGGATGCCCTGATTGTAGCGAGGCTAAGTCACGACCCCGAACTACTCGACCGTTTCCTGAACCTCCGTGAGCAGTCCAGGACTCAAGCGTCCAGTGCATCAGCAGATGATGAAGAAAAACTACCGCTGCCACCATTGGCGTCGCCGTGCAAGGCCAAGAGCACGACCAAGAAGTCCAAGTATGCGTTTTCGCCACAGCGAGAGCGCCAGGAAGTTCACGACAAGCTAACATCGGAGCGCCACAGAGGTAAGGACCCTGATACTTATGTGCCTAGTCAAATCCGATCCGGTGCCCTGCTTTGCAAGTCTCTCCCCGGCGTGTTGACTCGCGCGTACGACTACCAGTTTGACATTGAAGGTCTCTCGATAATGCACTTCAGCTTTATGGACAGAAAGAAACGTATGGAGTGGATAGACTCGGGCAGTGCCAATTTCTCGAACTTTTCGGCGACAGCGGACTTCGAACCAGCTCCAGCAGCCACCAGCATCAACGACGTGGTTGGTGCGGTGCTCGTTTTCCAGGTGTTCGCGCGCGAATACTGCGTCACTAGCGCGATTGAGCTGGTGGATGCCATCATTGGATTTATTGAGGCCAAGATTATGGCTCTGCGCTGGGAACCGGAGGACATACCGGCCTTTGTTTACTGGGTGAACGACGTTCTCGAAAGCTACCGAAATGCAGTCGCGTCTTCGGATAAAGATCCGGGTGCTATTCGACGTCGATGCACGCTGGATGACCCCCGTCTGCGTGAAATATTGCAAGAAGTCCAAGAACGGCGAATTCAGCAATTAGCTCAACGAGTAGAGCACCCTTTGGCACGGTCGAAGCAACGCAGGCCATCCCGGGCCGTTCCGCCTCGGCGAGACAGCGAGGAAAAAGGAAAGGACACGGCCCCATTCCGCCCAAAGTGCTGCAAAAACTGCCGAAGCAGAACGACACGCAGGGAGGAAGTCGCCGGCTCTGCATGCGGTTTCTATCGAATGCAGGGTGTGATGCCGATCTTCATGAAGGAGCTCACGACGGCCGGGCCCACTTTGTTCCGAAAACGCTAGACGCCTTGGTCAAAGCCGAGATCGAGAAGCGCTTCGATGGACTGAAGCCGCAATACAAACACTTATGACTACCTGTGGCTGCTCGGTCGCCATCGGCACACATGACGCTCCGATCCGGTTACTCCCCAACGAAGCCTGCCAACGTTATATCGAATCGATCAGAATGCCGAATAATTGAATGCAAACCCAAGTTGAACGACGCTGAGCCTACCTCCGCTGATGTTCGTTCTCGTAGTGCCTTTGCGGCACCTACAGGCGATATTAGTGTGGTCGCTGTAGAAAATCTCCGTTCCACGTCAATGTCATCTCTCACAACCTGCACTCGAATCTCGAACGATGCTGAGCCTGCCCCCAGCGCTGATGGTTGGGCTAAATCCACAGAATGCCCCAAGTATTGGCTGCTTTGGATGCCGCAGAAAATCTCCGTTCCAGATCAGACATCAAAATATTACGCACGGTTGCTCTTAAGAACGACGCTGAGCCTGCCCCTAGTGCCACTGCTTGGGGTAACGCTGCCTCAAATAGTGACTGCTGTGGATGCTGCAGAAAATCTCCGTTCAACACCTGAGCAAAGTCCTCACCATCCTACCACGGCGTATGCATCGAATTCTATTGCGCCTCATCAAGCCAGGATGGCTTCGTCCCATGATAATGCTGCGCATGCCTACAGCTCCACCGCTTCGCAGAATCTGGTATCTCTCTCACGGGAGTCTGCCATTACCATACAGCACGAGCTGGAGTTAAGGCTTCTTCGAGACGAAGCTCGAATATCCCAGCTTCACCGTCACTGGGGGCTGCGACGATCGCATCCTAAATCCGCTGACAAATCGGTCATCGACATGGTTGCGTGCCGCTCGCTATCGGAGAAAATTCGATCGAGACAGCTAAGCGTGGAGGACGCGGCAAAATTATTGAGAGGCGAAACTCTACCTGACTGTAGACCAAACAAGGCGCTTGACCCGGATCGTTTGCGGTATGTACTACGTGGGTACCCACACTTAGACCTCCTGATCAATATCGCCACGAAAGGTATCGAGGCACAGTGGGGCGATGGCCCCATACCAGTTCGGCCTCCACCCAAAAATCACGGGTCGAGTCGTCGACATCTGAAAGCCGTCGGTAAAAGCATCCGCGCAGGCCAAGATAGCGGGCAGTACATGGTTGTCGACGCCGATATCCTGGAGCGATGGTCGAACGTAATCTGCAGCCCACTAGGAGCGGTTGAGAAGAAGGACGTGGATCCCTCCGTTGAAGTGAGAACCATTCACGACCTATCGTACCCATTTGGTAATTCTACGAACGATTACTACCAGAAAAAGTCGGTGCCAGCCCTCACTTACGAGCCAGTGACTAATATTGCTCGACGTATCGAACACTTGGCTACGCGTCATCCTGGTGTCCGCGTATGTATCCTGAAAGGCGATGTGAAAGGTGCATACCGACATCTAATGTCAATAGCATCTCAAGTATTTCGTATGGCAGCTCTGGTGACAGACCTCAAGATTTTACTGATCGACTTAGCAGCCCCCTTCGGATGGTCCGGATCCCCACCATTTTATGGGCTGTTTGGACGTGCCATCTCGTGGTTGATGACAACTAATTCACCTGCCACCGTCGCTGATTCCGAAGATACCGAACCCTTTTTTGGCTACGAATGGGTAGATGATCATATTTTAGTCGAGCTGGACGTCAATGATCGGCTACATCTCGCAGAAGCAACCCTACGGCATGCGATGTTAGCCGTGCTGGGACCCCGATCAATTAATGGGGCCAAGTTCTCGAACTGGAGCACCGAACTCGTCGCCCTAGGTCTGCTCTGGAACACGGAAAAGCGAACAGTATCGATGCCAGCTGACAAATCGCTAAGGCGCTACAACGAGTAAATACGATGATTCAGCATCAAGCAGCTACAAAATCGGATCTACAAAAACTCATAGGGTCGCTAAGACATGCGTCAACTTGCTTGCGGGCCGCCAAGCCATTTTACCAACAGCTGCAAGCACTTGCAGTCGCCGCACCACGGTTTGCAAAAGTAAAACTCTCCGCCGGGGCGAAGGCGGATCTACGATGGTTTCAAAACATCCTGAGTCATGGGAATTTCGCTGCGCTACCCCTGAGCATGTTCGGTGATCTTCCTTCATCCGATGTGGAACTGTACATGGATGCTTCAAACATGGGTTTGGCGATTCTGGACCCTGGCGCAAATAAATTTATCCAAGAAAAATTTGACGAGACCGAGACTCTTCTAATCGCCAACGATGACACGCATTTCAACAGCTTCTCCATTAATGTGCGGGAGCATCTGTGCATCGCATTGGCACTGTGGACCTGGGGTTCGTCGTGGTCGAGCAATTCGTCCGGCCAAATGCTTCACGTGAAGTGCTGGAGTGACAATATTTCAGCAGTGCAGTGGAGCAATCGACTTTCTTCAAAGAATGAACTCAGCCAAGAAATCAACAGGGCAATTGGTCTAGCCGAAGCCTACTTCAACTTACGAGTATCGGTGGAGCATTTACCAGGGTCGACCAACACCATGGCAGACGCGCCTGGACGGATCCGTATAAAACTGTGTGGACTAATTTTTCTGTGTCGTGGGAACAGACAGCCGTGCCGCCAATCTTTCGCAAACTCTACACGAACTTCTCGAAGGACTTCAATCCCGCTCACTGGCCTCGTCATCAAACGTTAAATACTCAGCTACTTGGTCACAGTGGGTGCGATGGTCCACGGAAATGCGACTGCCTAAATGGTTACCCATGGATGAAGAGCGCCATTCATATCAGCTCGCACTTTTCGCAATCTACTGCTGGAAATTCGGATGGAACTCGTCCGAAAGAGGCAACTCTACCTCCACCGTGCCCTCCAAACTCTGCCACATCTCGTGGTATCACAAGCGCTTCGTCAGATACAAAGTCGGACTGTCCCCCGGACACCAGCTTGCTGTCGTCGGCATGCGCAGAGAAGACCCTCCAACCAACCCCAAGGCCCCCGTCACCATGCATCTCCTCGGAAAATTGCACAGCTCCTTCGATTTTTCCTGTGCCCAGCACCGAGTCATCTGGGGGGCTTCGGTGCTGGGCTTCTTCTTTCTTTTGCGCCGCTCCGAGTGTCTAGCTGACGGCACGAGGGTAAAAGAATATGCTATTCAAAGGTCCGATGTACGCTTCCTGGATGATCAAGGCCGCGACCAAGAATTGATCGATCGAGTGAAAAAGGTTCAAATTCGTTTTCGAGGCAGCAAGACTGACCAGTTTGGCGATGGATGTACTCGTGTGCTGGGTCGGTCTGGTCACGCCCAATGCTGCCCAGTAATGGCGTGCTGGTATCTCGTTCAGCATCACCTATCCATTGGCGCGAAGGCGGACACTCTACTCTGCAAAGTTACGCGGACCCACAACTTACAAGTCCGAGACCTCGTCAGTGCTTTGAAACACGCAGCTGAGCTCGTTGGGCACGAACCAGACAGTTACGGCTCCCACTCACTTCGTAGCGGAGGTGCCTCAGCACTCTTCAATGCGGGCTACGACAGCTTGGCCATCAAGCTTTTCGGGAGGTGGAGATCGGACGCCGTTGAGCGGTACACAAGAATGAGCTCACAACTAACAGCACGGATGGCGGGCGACATGATGGCCAAGGCAACATTGCAGCGTAATCAAGGGGCAACCTCCACGCCACACCCCGGCTGTGGAGGCGCTGCAATGTAATTTTCAACTTTTGTGCCGGGTTCGGCACGCCCCCAACAAGTAAGACGACGACGACTGAAAATATGCGGGGTATATGAAGGCCATCAGTGCATCGCACAACCACAGCTTGTTAAAGTCAATCACCATTTTCGCTGTGGCGAGGTCCTCGCGCATTTTTCTTTTCCATTCAAACGCCATCGCGGAAGATGAAAGCACCAGCCACATTGGAGAAACAGCCAGAATGGTAAATGGTAGAGGAAAGCCAACTGCGCTGATTAGGCTGTAGAAAATTGCGACAGTGATTGCAGAAAGCACAATAGGATATCCGACGGCTTTAGCTAAAGGCAACCGGGATGCGCGAACGCCAATACGAAACTGGTGAATAGCAAAGAACGTCAGCACCGTGAAACCGTAGTGTTGGCGGACGAAGAACATGCTATTGACCCCCACGCCGGCAGAAGGTTTCCCCAGCGGTAGCAAATCGATCAATACAGTCACCGCTAAACAGGGTAGAGGAGTCCCCAACAAAAGCAGCATTTCGCGAATCCAAGTTGTTGAACACTCGTATTTCGCCAACTCCAGAACGCGTGTAGCTGAGTAGCTACCACGCAGCTCTACTTGCACGGATTCCCACAAGTTAACGACGGCGTGGCAGAACGATCGCATGGAGCCTTGAAAAGCTGGTCTTGTTGGAAAGTGTACGTAATACTACTGAATGTGCGAGGGGCTGATGCGTTGAATGTGGTCTGATGTCTTCTATCAGCCCCAAATATTTATACGTGAGACCATTAATAGCACACGTGCGCTTCAGGTCAATTATAGTGCCTTCATTACTCGTCCCGCCTGTACTTCCCTGATACGACAACCACGCGCTAAACCACTCCGATACTGATCGAATGTTCTCCATTCGTTGTTGCACACCCGAAACTTCCTTTTGTAGGTAGGTGGGTGTTCGAGTTTGTGCCACGCCCCACGAACTGGTCGTAAAAGTGTATGTGAAGCACGAACACTACCCGTGCTCGAGGCGTCACGCTGCGGTCCGATTTCCATGAATCTAGCAATAAAATGGCGTTGCAATCTTCAAGATCACGCTTATATTGACGCGTATTCGTCTTGCGTTAGCTCGACCCAGATCCCTTGGTGAGCCATGCAAACCGGAAACTGTAGTCGTAACCTGATGTGCAACAACAGTCTTTAGCAAAATTGTTCGTTATTGGTAACGCCATAGAAACGGTGGATTGCGATATGCATAAACTTACTGAAAAGACGAGCGGGATCACCACTTCGACATATTTCGCAAGGATGAGGAATTCAGCCATGTAGAGAAGCCGCCGCACTTTGCACGTGTACCTTAAACTGTATGACATGTTTACGAAACTGCTTTTGACAGGAATGGCATCGTGCATCGTGGGGTGCACGATGGCTCGAGCGCGCATTGGGCCTGCGCAGCACAACCACCGCGAAGATGGCGCAAATATTTTCTGCGGCATTACTTCAGCTGATGCTTGCTATGGGCTGGAACCAGAATTAGTATTCTTGGTATTGTCAACTTCAGTCTCGTGATATGAGGTTATGCGTATTATCTCAGCAATCGTACTGACCCCAGTACTTCCCTGGCTCTCTTCTTGCTGTAATAAGGCACTCGCGCGCTCTAATGGACGGCCGCCACTCACGTTATAGCTTATACGACCACGAATCGTGCTCCATCGCCTTTCCTTATCAACATAACTTTCGAGTTCGTGTAAGCCGCGACAAATATAATGGATATCCCGAAGCGATGATGCCATCAGAATGACGTTTGCTGCCATGATCAATAGTGTCGTCCTGAACGACGGTGAGCTCTGCATGCAGTACGAGACAAACCGCGAATTGAATAGCTCCGCGTTGAACACCACAATCTCCGGGGTCTCGTCCACCGAGTGGTCCGCCAACTGGTCGTAGAGATTTCGTATGAACAGCTTAATCACCGGAAGCAGCAGTGAGAACGCAGTCTGACCGTCCTTAGAAAGCGTAGTGAAGACGTAGAAATACGTTGGGTAGATGAAGATCATAAGAATATCGCACACCCACCCGTTGTTCACCACTTGCGCTGCTGCAGCGTTGCCTCGTATTTTCCACTCAAGCGCCATAGCTGATGACGATAGCACCAGCCACGCGGGGGTCACTGTCAGAATAGTAAACGGAAGAGGGAAGCCAATCGCACAGATCAAACAGTAGATAATGGCGGCAATGGCTGCGGAAATCGCATGGAATATCCGATGGCTCTGGTTAATGCCAACAGAGGTGCCCGAACGCCAGCTCGGAACTCGTGAATAGCAAAGAACGTCAGCACCACAAAGGTGTAGTATTCGCGGACGAAAAACATGCTATTGGCCGCCTCCACACCATCCAAGGGGTTCTTTAGCGGCAGCACATCGATCAATACAGTCACCGCCAGACAGGGGAGGGGGGTCCCCAACAGCACCAGCATTCCGCGAATCCACGAAGTCGAACGCGCGTATTTTGCCAACTCCAGAGTACGTGTAGCCGAGTAGTTCCCGTGCAACTCCACTTGCACATACTCCCTCAACTTGATGAGGGTGCGGCAGACCGACCGCATGGGGCTTCGAGAAGCTGCTCTTGTTGGAAAGTCCACGTAGAACGTCGATGCAGTCTACTTTGTGCGACTATGTTCTTCGGTATTTGGAGCCGCGTACTTCTTCAAGTAAAAGTACTAAGAACACCAAGTTGAAATGACATTTCTATTTGCCAAGCATTAGGCTTAAGCCTCCTTCGTGAGCGACATGAGGCCACGGTGTTCGTGAACATCCCCGTGGATCTCGTCCACCAACGCACGAACGGCCTTCGTGACCTCGTCGGGTTTCTCATGGTGGATGCAGTGGCCAGTATCGTTCACCACGAGGTGCACGCTGCGCTTGCTAACAGTGTGCGCCAGCTTGGTCTGCGCGTCGAGCCACTTGCGCTCCAGGTCCGCGATTGTCTGCGGGGTCACGCCCGCCTGCATCTTCATGGTGTCAAACATGCCCGCCTTGCCGTGCGACAGCACCACGCACGGAAACTCGAACGGCGCCGCGCCCGTCCCAGCAGCGTCCCTGAAGCGCTGCTCGGTTTGTGGGATGGCTTGATTCTCGCGCAGAGCGCCTTCTCGGTGCGCCGGCGACGGCGAGTAGTACTCGACGTAGGGCAGCGCAATGGTCGAGTACTTGGACACCATCTTGGCGTGCTGCACCACGTTGATCAGCCGAATGAGCCCCAAACGCGACAGCCGCAGCACCATCTCACCGTTGCTGTCCATCTCCGACAGCGACTTGTGCACCACCTCCGACACGCTCTCCAGCTCGCCCCGCAAGTCCTCTACAAGTAGATGCATACCCCCATTAGCATCAAATCTCCAACATAGCAATAACATAACTCCATCCTACCTTGCAGGGCGTCGACGAGTACGAGACCCTGGCACTCGGGCCCGTGTCCCGCGGTCTTGAGCTCCTCAGCCAGCTGCCGCATGTTGTATCCGCCAGCTCCGTGAGCCACGAGCACCACCTTGCCCGTGACGTTGAGCTTGTCCAGGATCTGCTTGTACTCTGTCGCGATCTGCGACGACGTGCGGGGCAGCGCTCCGGGCTTGGAGAAGCCGAGCCCCGGGCGGTCCACGCTCACCACCGTGGCGAACTTGGCCACGTCGGCCGCCACCTTGTCCCAGTCGAAGGACGTCTCGCCCACGCCGCCGTCCAGCAGCACCGTCACGTCCCCCGAGCCGCGACGCTGCACGTGGACGTCGGTGGACGCTTCGTCGGGCCCGTCCACCTGCACCATGAAGCCCGGCGGGTCCATGGGGTTCAGCGTCTTGACCGTCTCGATCACGAAGCCGCCGGACGCCAGCAGCGCCGACGTGACCGCCAGGCCGCCGAACATGAGCTTGCCCACCTCCTTGAGCTCCGTGAGCACCATCTGCTTGGTGGGGCGCACGGTGGGGCGAGGTTCCGCCGCCTTCTTGGAGAAGCGCCGGGCATTGGCCGTCGTGGAGCGAGGCGCCGCGGCGCGGAGACGTCCCAGCCGCACGAACATGTGAGCACTATTGTTGAAATGACTCAGGAGACAAAATTACAAAATAATTTACGATTATTAACCAATGAACGGCGGAACAAATTACATTTGATTAAAGTTTAGGATTAAGTATTTTTGAAGTTAGGATTTTGTAGGATAGATTTTTTGCGCTAGGTGCATGAATACAGTACAGTACTTCTACTTGAGCACGGCGCTGTCTAGGATGAGTCCGATCGTGGAGCCTAGCACGAGTCCTAGGTTCAGGAAGAAGCTGGTGATAGGTCCGATGATGTGCTGTTCCTCGGGCTCCACGCTCTCGCTGACGAAGATGATGGTCAGGGCGCCAAGATATCCATTCCCGAAGCCGTGGAGAAGTACGCAGAGCACGGACCACACGTCGCTCTGGAGCCACCACTCCTTGACGATGCCGACAATGACCGGGACGAAGATGAATCGCAGCAGGATCGGGATCCAAATGTTGCGCGGAGTGAGTCCGAAGCGGTGGCTGACAACGAAGCGTCCGACACAGTCGTTGATGGAGAAGTGCGTGAGCAGGATCAGAGACCACCAGCCGCTCTCTTGCAGCGACGGGAAGTTGTACGTCTTGATCTCCGTGACGAGCGGGGGCCACACCGATAGACTGGCGAGGTAGACGGCCAGGATCAGCAGCTCCAGGTGCCAGACCTTGTTCAGGACGGACCACTTGGTTGGTGTCGGTCCGGATGCGACGTCGGATGGACGTTGTTTATCCCCAAGCGCGAGTGAACTCCGGGTGAGGTCAACTTCATTGTCTCCTGTCGTGAGGAGGTATTTCTTGGTGATCTGCAGCCCCATGGCCTTGTAGTAGGCGCAGATGCAGAGCGCAATCGTTAGCGCCCCCGTGTAGAAGTAAATGAGGGACGACGCCAGCAGCTCATCGGACGGGAAGACGAGCTTGGTCACGTCGCGGTAGACGCTGCCGATGAGCGAGCTGAGGCCGATGCCCAGCTGGAACCTTTCCTGGACGCGCTGCGGGTAGTGCGACACGAGTGCAATGGCGCAGCTATCGAGGAAGGCCGTGGCCACTGCAGCCAACGCGGTGCCTCCGAGTACTGCGGCTGCGTTGGCGTTCTCCGACGTCATGAAGAAGTAGGACGTGGGCACGAACACGAGCACGAAGAGCTGACCGGCGAAGCCCCCGACGATGCGTCTCGTGTACTGAGGCTTGCCGAACACTAGGACGAGCAAAGTCAGACACACCAGGTTCGTGTACATGAAGATGGAGGTGATGGCGAACTCGATGTTGCGGTCGGGGAACAGCATCTTCCAGTAGTCGACCGGTTGGGTGAGGGCCGAGAACGGGAAGAGGAAGCCGATGCCCACCAGCATGAACAGCCACGAGGCGATCGTTTCTTCTCGAGATTCATGGGCGGCGCTCTGGATGCCATCGTCGCCTTGGTGTTCGAGTGGGGTGTCGGGGTGAGAGACGTACGACGAGTGGCAGACTTCGGGTGTTAGAGGCACTGGACCAGTCATCGTTGTTGCGGCTTCGGCTCGAAACGCGAAGTGAAGTCCCGGCGCATGTCTGTATGGGGGCAGCGGCGATCGGTGGTTGGCGCCGCGCGGTTTAACAACACCAAGTTGTGTGTTCGAAGTCAAGTCATCGGCTACCAAATACTAGTTACCAGTGGTGTGCCGCCATCCATGGTAAGCACTGAAGTGCTTGCTGCAAAGCACGCACGATGTTGTCTTTTGCATAGCCAGGAGGACGCTGTCGTGGGTCTTCAGCCTGTCCGCGAAGGTGAATTCTGTCGCGTAATGATGAGTGAGTGGCTCCTTCGTTTGGACTGAATGAAACTTGTCTCGCCCAAACAAACTTTGCCGCCAACCTATGATACCAAGATTCACCGGTAACTTTTAGATGCGGATTATCTGGATGAGCAACTACGCAGATCTACACGGGGTCTTGAGCACGATTCACAATTTCAGGCGACGCCGTTGCCGCGACGGTATGCCTGTTTCTCTTCCAGACTAAGCTTAACGCATCTGCGCGGTTGATGAAGTCACTGTACTTCATCAACGTTTCTAGGCGGTGTCGTTACTGTCGTGCCGCCCGCCTCGAGCAAGCTTTCCTGGTATCCTTTTCCTTCATTCATTCATAGAAACATGCATGCAAACTACATGCAGCTAAAGACGCGTGCCGAGATGAGGACATGCATTCGATATCGCATTCGCGCATGAACGTTGTCCAGCAGCATGTTGAAGTGGATTTTCCGTCTAAGTACGATTATGTGCTGCACACATTTTGCGTCTGCGGCCACGAAAGACCGCACCACCAAATCGACCAAATGATGCAGCGGCGCGTCCTGCTGGCGGCCTCCGCGGCGCTCCGTCGCCGCGCGCCGACGTCTCCCGCTCTGCGCGCAGCCACCAACGGAATTGCGTCTCGCTGGAGCTCCTCCAGCTCGAGCGAACCGCCCAAGCGCACCGTCCAGGTGCTGCACAACAAGCCGCAGACCAGCTACGTGCATGTGGAGCAGGACATCGCCGCCATGCAGCGCGAGATCCGCGACGCGTACAAGTGCGTGCCATTGCATACTAACTATTTGGATCAAGAGCTGTCGATGCAGCGTTGAACCACCTTCAACCGACGTCTCTAACGCGAGTTATGCACTTTTCCGACTTTTTCCCGCAGCTCCGGAGACTACCAGGCCGCGCTGGACGCCGGACTGCAGTGCCGAGACCTGGTCAAGTCCCACTTCGGAGAGAACCACCCCGTGTACGCCAGCACGGTGACCAACATCGCCCTCATGTACAAGAACCTGGGCCAGATGGAGGAGGCCGTCGAGTCGTACGAGTTCGCGCTGCAGGTCTACAAGGCCAGCGTGGGCGAGCAGCACGCTTCCTTCGCCACGACGCTCTACAACCTGGGGCTGGTCTACCGCGCGCTGGCCATCTCCAACGCCGGCATGGAGCGCGTGAGTGCGCTGCACCGCGCGCTCGACTGCTTCGAGGAGTCGCTCAAGATCCGCCGAAACATCCTCGAGCCGGGACACCCCGACATCGCGCTCAGCATGAGCAACATGGGCGTCATCCACTGGCAGAACAAGCAGCCAGAGAAGGCGTTCGCGGCGCTGACCGAAGCTGTCGAGCTGCTGGAGAAGAAGGTCGGACCCTCGAGCTCGCTCACGGCGCTGGCGAAGAACAACCTGGCGTATGCCAAGAAGGAGGCGCGCGAGTACGATGAGGCTATCAAGCTGTACGAAGAGGTGCTGCGTGTGCGGAAGCAGGTGCTCGGCTCGGAGCACAACGAGACCATCATGGCGCGTCACAACCTCGCGGAGGCCTACCGCTCGAGCGGAAACGAGGACAAGGCCGTGGAGATTCAGAACGAGATCCTGGAGCTGTTCGACGCCGAGTTGGGGCCGGAGGACAAGAAGTAGAGTAGACGCTCTGATGATAACGAAGTGATGGCGTAGTCGTCAGTTTTGACAGCAAAATAGTTGGGTTTATTAGGTTTGAGTCGATTCATCATCTTGCTACAAAGAGCTGTTTATCTCGCGGCACTCTATTCAAACATGGCTGGCTTAGCCGACCTTGTTGGGGTTGGCGTGGGGCGCCTTAAGCAACGCGGGCGCGTGCGGGGGCACAAGCAGCCGGCGGAGGTCTTCCGACGTGGCCTGGGTTGTGTCGCCGTGGGTCTCCCATACCCGGGACGCGATGAGCAGGCTCGAGATGGCTCCACCGCTGCCTGGGTTGGACGACAGCACCGACAGGAACCGAGCGGCGTACTGCTTGGTCGTGGTGCTCTCGCCCATCTTGGACCTTGGAACGAGGGTGGACAGCAGATTGAGCAGCGCTGCGGCAAGCTGCGAGCTCACGGCGGCCTTCGCGAACTCCGTTGCGGCCTGAGTGTGTCGCTTGAGCGGGATCATGTGCAAGCACAGCAGAAGCTGCATCTCCGTCGAGTCTCCGAGCCACACGTGCGGGAGCAGGTTGGACAAGCTGGCGGGGTCCATTCCCTTCACGAGGTTGTCGATGCAGGCGGGGATGAGGCACAGGTTGCCGAGCAACTGCAGCGTCACGCGAGCCAACTGGCCCTCGGTCGAAGCCTCAGTGCGGGCCAGGTTCTTGTATACAACCTGGAACGCGCTCTTGATGAACGGAGGGACCACGGTGGCGAGTGGATCGACACACTTTCCACTGAACGACAGCATGTGCACACATTCCATGCATCGAAGCTGAAGCAGCGGCGCGTTGGCAAACGAGAATCCTTGTGGCTGCGTCTCGTGGTCTAATACGAACAGCAGGGTCAGGAGCCCATCGGCCTGCACAACTTGCACGTCCATGTCGGGCGTGTACTGCAGCAAATGCCTGATAGCAGTAGCCACGGGGAGCAAACGCTGAAGTAGCACGCTTTCCAATGCCTGAGGTTGCGCGCGCACGCCCGAGATGTCGTACGACAGCGCAGCCAAAAGACCGTGCATCACATGTCCACTCACAGTGCGGTTCTCCAGCTCCGCTGCCGCTGCAGCTGCAGCTTGGATCTCCTTCTTCGTCGTGGGCTTCGGCTTAAACATATCACGATTGCCGCCGCCGTTCACGGTTCCAGCAATTTGGGCGAGGATGCCGTTCTTCGGGTTTTCGTTGAAGAAATTGACGTAGATGCCAGCCACACACAGCTCCTCCTTCTGTGCCGTGTACATGAAGTAGGGCGGAAGTTCGAATACCTTGTGCACCTCCTCATCGCTTTGATCCAGTGTGGTGTGGAACTGAATCGCACGCTGCGCGAGACTGATCAACTCCTTCCGCATGCGCTCCGTCCACATAACATGCGGCTCGCGAACTTCGGTTGCCAGCACGTCCAGCATTTTGATCGGGCCTGCTCGTCGCAAGATATCTACAAGTGGACGAGTGAAGATCTGCTCGATTGTCGTCTGCATTCTCTTGACAAACACAGCAATTGTCTCTTCTCTCGCATTGGCTTCCAAGATTCGCCCCAGCGCCTTCGCTGCCCCGATGCTAATTCGCTGTATATTGCTGTCACCATCGTCATTGTTTGGCTTGTAGTGAAACAGCAGAAGCGTCAAATACCAAAGGATTCCGTGCTCAGCAAGCTGTAGCAGCAAAACTTCTGCCATTTCACCCGAGCTGCCCGCCATTTCGTACACAATTTGGAGGGACAAATCCGTGGCCAGGCGGTCGCCTTCTTGCGACAAGAAGCGTGTCAGGCACGGCAGTAAATCGATCGACTGCGCAGCAGCCGACACGCGTCCGTTGGGCTGGTTCAAAACGTTCACGAGCGCTTCTAGCACCCAATGAGTCATCACATTCGGTGTGCATCCGTCAACAGTGCTCAGCGCTTCCTGGTTGTGGAAGAGCAACTGAAGTGAGTTGCACAGCACGCGAAGTCCCAGTCCCGAGCTACACTCGTGAGCGTTTTCGTCAGAGATTCCCACAGCCAGATTTATGACACGAATCGCACTTCCAAAAGCCTTCACAAAGGTTGTCTTGGTTGCAATGGCATTGGAGACATCAAAGAACGTTCGCGTCGGTCCAACGCGGTTGTCCTTCAATTCCGTAATGCATCGCTCCAGAGCCTCCAGGAAGTACGAAAAGTTCTGCAAGTTCGTAATACTTGGCGAATCGGGGAAACGCCGCAGAAGGAGAGCAGTGGCGTCAAGCAGCTCAACAGCATCGAACACTGAAAGAAGCTTCGTGGACTGGTCCTTGCTCGCCGACGCCCCACGAGCGGTCAGCAACAATCCTGGGTGCACCCAGCGCCGAATGGAATCAAGCAACGCCCGTAAGAACGCAGCTTCATCGTTGATAGGCCATCCAGGGAAGTTCTTCTCGTCAAGGAGATTGTGCAGGTAGTACTGGTAGCACTGAAGTGCGTGAACTTCCTTCGGATACTGGATCAGCGCAATGCAAGCCTTGTGTTCCGAGCCTTCCTTCTCCGAAATGTAGAACATGCCGTTTTCGTCAGTATGCAGCTCCATAAACTTCTCGATGTACGTCACCATCTGACTGCGCATATTAGCATTCCAAACCACTTCAGGGTTGTTCGCATCTGAAAACAGCGCCGTCGCAAACCGCCGTGGTCCATGACGCAAGAGCTGAGCAACCATCGACACCGGCAGCAATCGCACCAGCCAACTCCTCAAACAGATCCGCGTCAGCGGATCCGGAGAGAAAACGCCCTTCTTGTTCTCTCCCTTTTGCTTATCGTCGATGAGATGCGGCACGTCGAGGCCTGATTGCCGCAAGTGGATATGAGAGATAAGGCGCGCTGCAATCGACATCTCGTCCACATCCTGAGCAAACCGCAGCAAGTAGTAAAAGATGCCGGACGCGTGGAGATTCGGGATGATCGATTCATTGTGACGGACAAGAAGCCGAATCAAACCGAGACACTTCTTGAAAACGATGCGATTCGGGCAATCCAAAAGCCCCACCAAGAACCGCAACGTTTGGTCTTCACACAATCGATGCTTGATCGAGCTGATTGGGCTAACACCGGAGCCTTCAAAATGGGTAAGCCGCCCGTACTTCGGAAAGCGAACATCCTGGTACATGTGTCCTTCTTCCTCCGCGGTGTGGCAATCGATAAGGCGACTGAGCACACTCAAGCACGTCTGCATGATCATTGACCCGCTCATGGCACCGCAGTGTTCAGCCACAACGGTCACACGGCTGGGTTCCTCTTCGTGCACACTGTCGTCATCGCGATGTGCGTATGTGGGTGAGACAGAGTGACTCGAAATAATAGAGCTTTCGGCACCTGACTCCTCCAGTGCATCGATCGTTCTCCTCGCCATATCTCTGTCGTCATCGTAGTCATCGTCATCCTCATACTCACCTCTATCATCTCCGTACTCATCATCGTCCTCTTCTTCAACGTCATCGTTCTCATCTTCGGACGCATCCAGTTCAGCCTGAACGTCGGCTGCAGGCTCTACAATATACTCCTTCTCAGAGTCATTGGGCCCCTGAAGAACGACCAGCGGCTTCACTTCACGCAACAGGTCCAACACCATCGTCACGTTATCACCTTCACGCAGGAAACGCGAGACGTTTATGGCGCTTGACAGCACTCGATCAAGGAACAGCATGATATTGCCGCGAACAACGAGAGGCCATCGTCGATCGTCTCCATTTCTGTCTTTCATCATACTAACACGGAGGAAGTGGTTCAGGAACATGAGCGAGCCCAACTCGTTGAAGTGGCGCTCATATAGCTGAATCATGACCTTCAGCACCAGCAAGCGAATGTCAGACTGATCGACGTCACCAAGTGAATCCGATGAAAGGTATCGTTCGCTGGGAAGTTTCTTCACCGAAATGTTACGATCTTCAGCAAGCAGGCGGTAGTACAGCAACGTCATGAACTTTTCCGCGCCCTCAATGTCTTCCACCAACACGCCACGGTCATCCAAAATGTTCGCGAGGTAATACGGACCAACCTTCACCTCCTTCTCCAAGCACTCGTAGTCAATGCGGAATTCGTTGCAGTTCCAGGCCACAAACCACCGCGGCATATTTTTCGCGCTCTTCTTTTTCTTCTTGATGAGTGGTGCATTGCGGAACTCCTCGTGGGTTCCGTCTTGGTCATCCTGCTTCGGCTCCGGGGTATCACTAGGGCGAATGAGACTGTTCGATCGAGATATGAACCCGTTGTCATCAGTATAGTTTTCATCGCTGTCGTAGTTGTCATCGTCAAGTCCACCGTCACTCTCGACATCATCGGACGTGTCGGGGTTCAGCAAGAACGAAAGCGGCATGTACCGCGCAAACCTATTGGACGAGGAGATCGTTCCCTTCATCATCTCGATCGCCAATCGACTTTCAGAACCGTTCTGTAGGAACTCAAAAAGGAACGGTGCAAAGTTCGCGTGCTGAGAATCTTGGCGAAGTCGGCTAGCTTGATGCGCCTCCCATTCGGACTCGGTGTGATCAGTCGCCAGCGGGTCCGTGTAGAGATACCCCAGATACTTCAGCCGGTACAAGTCAAGCTCGCTCATTTCCGCCTGCAACTTGCGGATAAGCTCTTCGACCGCATTGGGACCCCACACGAGATCCTTGGTCGCGTACGTTTTACCCAATCGGTCGAAAAACTCGGGCAAGAGCACGGCGTGCTTCACGTTTCGAGCCAAGCGAGCCCGAGTGTTTATGCCGTAGCTCAGCTTGCTTCGTCCACTTTCAGTTGCATTCGTGATATCGCGTCGACTGCCGTTCTTGTGGGCAGCCCCATTCCCTTTTGCATAAAGCTCAGGGTTTGCAGTAGGAAGATGTCGCCCAAACTCGTCATATTCCAGTTGGCTCGCCTTTTGGTCATCCAGCAACGCGTGCGGGAAAATGTTCCGGATCACGTAAGACGAACGCGGGTTTTCGTGCGTGAGCAAGGCAACCAGCTGGGACGAGATTCTACGCTGTCCCTTGTCTTGGGTGTACAGTGCCAAGTAAAGTTGCCACACTAGCGCCCCGTGCTTCCTAGCAAAATCTTGGATCAGCTCGACCAGCTCCGTAGGCTGCTCCAGAATATGCACCTTTACCAGAATGGAGGAGCACTTCGTAATCGAGAAGCTCAACGAGCGGTTGAACAAGAACAACGCGTGGTGGCGTGAGAAATCGTCCACTCGCATGGCACGAAGTAAATCCCTCGCCACCCTCTCCGGCGTCGCCTTCTTTCCACTAGACAAGCAAACTTCCAGTGTTTGTAGAACCATGGCAAGGACGAGATAATCCAATCCCAACTGAGAATACGCCAGCGCGTTAGCCATACTACGCTCAGTGTTAGACATCGACGCCACCGAAATAGTCCCATGGCCCGATCCTGTCTTCAACAGCGAAGTGGAATGCAATGGCATACGACCCACCCGGTTGGTTCTTGACAGATCAAACGCACGAGACACGTATATCCTGCTGTGATACTTCGTGAAAATCGCGCGACGGTTGGCTGTCTCCGATTTCAAGCTGCGTGTATCGGAGTAGTTGACAACCATGTACTTGATCACGCATGCCGCAGCAAAACTCACCTCCTCCATCGGTGAATGAAGCAACTCCATGATCACCTCGATACTGTTCTTGTACTGCGAGCTCGGAATTTCCTCGAAGACACCACGAGTGCAAAGCAAGCGCTGGATGGCCAACAGGAGCTCCACCTGGAACTCTGTCGTCGGAATCGGGGCATCGGTGTTGGAGGGACTGTTGAGCTGCGCCACAGAATAGTCTTTAAAGTTCTCAAGAAGCTTCATCAGGCTTGCGAATGCACGTCGATCGCGCTGACGAAGGCCTCCCAGAGGGATGTTGCGGTTGAACTGCACCAGCTGGTGATAGATGAGCGACATACTCTCATTCGTCACAAGGTTCGGGATGAAGTTGAGATTGACCAACTTGCGCAGCAAGATATCCTCCCATTCGGGATGGACCTCAGTGCCCCACGTTCCTTCCTTGCATGCAATCTTCGTCTCCTCAGTTGACCAAGGCACGTGCAGCTTGTTCATGCGGCACATTTCAATCATGTTGCTCAGGAACAAACTTCGAGCTTCCTTCGGACTGAGCAGCGTCGTAGCGCCGGCAACCTTCAGCCACTCGGGAACGTTGATATCTCCAGCAATGTCGCCGATGATCTGACGAAGTTCATTCTCATGCTGCGACGAAGCCCGCTGCAACCCAAGACTCACATCTTTATCACGCCTACTCACCGTGGAGCTCAGGCAGATATACCGACGAGTGAGACCGTGCTTCAATTCCAACGCAAACTTGCCGCTCAATCCCTCCGAAACCTCGCTATCGGGGTCATCCTGCGACGACGATATCGAAGGATAAATCACCACGTTGAATATATCGTTAAGAGAATGGCTCGCCATCGTCTTCCGCGTCACAGGGTCCCGCTCAATGATTGCCAACGCCGTCAAGCCCAGCAAACGTAGCTGCAACTTGTTGTTCTTGCTGATCTTCAGCACGGGAATCTCAAAAGTGACAGGTGGCGGGATGTCCCGCGTCGACGTGAGGGCGTCAAACTCGCACGAATCCGACACTTCCTCCACGAAAAGCGACACACTGAGCCACGAGCGCAAATTGTTCGCGATCGCCTGGATAAATGGTTCGCGACTGTCGCACCAGTAGCGATGTACGCGGTTGTTCTCGAAATACAGCACCAGCTCATTCGAGTTGGTGTTCACGCGCTGGATCTTGACGATATCAATCAGCAGAATAGAAGACAGCGTCGTGCGCGTCTTCGGGTCCAGTCGATCCAAGCTCGCAGCACGCACCGCCAGCAGCACGTCCACCTTGACCGGGTGAATCGCGATGCTGCGCGTGGTGCTGAGCTTCGTCATCGTGAAGGTCTTGCCACAGAGCTGAAACAAACTGTCAAAGTACATGCCGCTGCCCAGCAAGTTGGAGTTGCTGCCTCCGGGTCCTCCAGGGCCTCCAGAGCCCGTGGCCCAGCTGTTGTCACTCGTGCCGACGCTGGCCCCCACTGCGCTGAGCGCGTCGGCCGTGGCGGCGTCGATCTCGTCCTTGCGGAAGGACGAGGCGCGCTCTCGGAGCTGGTAGTAGGCGGACAGCAGCTGCTGCCTGCAGCGGCACGTGTACGTCTCCTTGAGGTTCTTGCCGATGAAGATGGTGAAGGCGCGGTCGGCGTTGTGGCCGCCGCTGTCCGAGGCGATGGTGATCTCCTTGATGTTGTCGAAGGCGTAGCGCTCCTTCACCTCGTCCGAGTACGGGTCCACGATGGTCAGGTGGTTGCTGCTGAGCACCATGAGCCGCTTGGCCGAGCGCAGGAAGCCCACGCGCGTCACGAAGAAGCGCGCGGCGTAGATGACGCCCGCGTAGCGGTTCGCGGGCACCTCGAGGCTCTCGAAGTCGTCGTCGTCGTCATCCTCGTCCTCCGCGTCGGCCGCCGGCAGCGCGCCGTAGAAGGAGCTGGCGCGCGGCTCCACCTCGAAGCCCGTGGTCTCGGGCCCGCGCGGCACGAAGCGCGCGTCCAGCGTCGCCAGGTCGCGGCCGAACACCAGCGGGTCCAGCTTCTGCGTGAGCTGCTGCAGCTCCGCGTCGCTGTCGTCGCTGCGGGGCAGCGCCATGGCGCGCAGAGAGGCTCAAGCTCGGGAGCTTGGGGCGGCGCTTGAAGGGGGAATGTATGTGCGTGATCTAAGTCGGCCATCTGATTTCTCATAAATGGCCAATCGCAGCGCGAGAATAGCGATCTTTCACCGGATTGGTGCAAGTAAGAGCTAGGTAAGACTAAGATTTTACGTAACAAGTCGTTTTTACGAAGCGTAAGAAGTCGGCTGAGACCCACCCAAGCCAACCGTTGTCTGCTCCTGGACGAGGTCATTCCGGCATTGGCCCTCTCCGCGCGCGCATCAACTGCTGGCTGCAGGTGCCTCAACGTCAAGCCACTTTTCTCTTTATCTGTGGCTCTATCGATTGCGAAAGCCAGTGACGATCTTGCACCAAACGGACCAATTCATGTCGATTGCAACTTTTTCGGGTACCAGCTGAGGCTTCGCTGCAATATCTGCATACTGTTCGTTGGATATCTACGTTCCGCTTGCCCTGCGCGTGGGCAATCGGAGTGCAGCTACGTGTATCAATAGAGTATGTGTGTATAATTCATTGTTCGGGTAGCACTGGTCAAGGTGTTTGTTCTCTGCTGATGCTTTTATAAACAAGCGTATGTCTGACTTGTATGAGGACAATCTGTTTTACTGAAGAAAACATCACCCACGCCACCATCAATAGCGTCAGCTATTTAGCAGCAGTCCGCTGCATTGGGATCGAGTGATGATCGTTTTATCTGGTCGGACCTTGCACTTGTGCGAGCTGACGAAACACAAACATTTAAGACTACGATGATCTGACGGTTCCTTCCTTCATCCACAAAATTCCTCCTCTACATTCAGTGTGGGCATCTTTGACGCCCAGGTCAACTTCATCTGCAGTTGCACAAACTGTAGCCATTTTCATCTCGTGCAAGTTGCCGTTTTCGTACTTAGTGCGAGTCCGCACCGCTGCCGGCGACTCGTTCAGTTTTAGATCGCGAGCGAGCAGAGTGATGGTGCGCGTGGGCGTGACCGACGCGGACGTGGCGTCCGTGGCGCTGTACACGCCGCTGCCGTGGCCTATGCGGCTGGACCTGCTGCCCTTCCTCTTCCTCTACGCCACGGCCGCGCACCTGTACGCGTCGCGGCCGGAGGACGACGTGGTCGCGTGGGTCTTCGGGGCGCTGAGCGTCTTCTGCCACGCGCTGGCGCTGCTGGGCGCCGAGTGGAGCGTGGAGGTGCGCTGCTGGATGAGCTGCGCGCGGCTGACGGTCGTGGCGCCGCACGCGCGCGTCAAGATGCTGGCCAAGGTGGAGCCGGCGCTCGCGATGCTGCCCAAGCAGCTCTGCGACTGTCAGCTGGAGCTCGGCCAGCCCCAGGACAAGGGCAAGGACAAGCAGCTTAAGCCCAAGATCAAGGGCACGCAGGTGCCGACGCTCTGGTTCTCGTACCAGAACCTCAAGTTCTGCCTGTACGAGGACGTGAAGACCATCAACAAGGGGGACTCGCAGTTCCGCCGCCTCGACTTCCCGTCCACGGGCACGCTGCAGTCCTATCTGCAGACGCAGGGCATCGCGTCCAACGACGAGCTGCTGCGAGCTAGGGGCAAGTGGGGCAGGAACGACTTCGAGCTGCCCATGCCCAAGTTCGCGGAGCTGCTGAAGGAGCAGCTCGTGGCTCCGTTCTTTGTGTTCCAGTTCTTCTGCATGCTGCTCTGGTGTCTGGACGAGTACATGTACTACTCGCTGCTGACGCTGCTCATGCTCGTGATCTTCGAGTGCACGGTGGTGAAGCAGCGGCAGCAGAACATGGACACGCTGCTGCACATGCGGCGCCCTCCGCAGCCTTGTCTGGTTTTCCGACTGGGTCGCTGGGTCCAGGTGTCCAGTGACGAGCTGGTTCCGGGGGATGTCTGCTCTGTCGGACACAATGAGCGCGACACGGTGGTGCCGTGCGACTTGCTGCTGCTTCGAGGAAACTGCGTGGTGAACGAGTCCATGCTCTCCGGCGAGTCTGTTCCGTTGCGGAAGGAGGCGGTTGGCGCCTCCATTGTGAACGACGCGGAAAAGCTGAAGAATCTCGAGGTTGATGACGGATCTAGTATGAAGCACAAGCGGCACGTCTTGTTCGGAGGCACTAAGGTTCTTCAGCACACAACACCATCGTCGAAGGATTCTCTCCGTGTATCTGCACCCCCTGATGGAGGTTGCGTCGGATTCGTGCTCCGAACGGGCTTTGGTACCACCCAGGGAAGTCTGATGCGAACTATTTTGTACTCGTCGCAGCGCGTGACGGCAAATAACACGGAGGCGATGTGGTTTATCGTCCTCCTGCTCAACTTTGCTGTAGCCGCAGCGGCATTTGTGCTCGCGCAGGGCATCAACGACCCGACACGCAACCAGTTCAAGCTGTTCCTTCACTGTATTATGATCATCACTTCGGTTGTGCCACCCGAGCTCCCGATGGAACTGTCGTTAGCAGTGACGAACTCCCTGATTGCGTTGACGAAGAGCAACATCTACTGCACCGAGCCTTTTCGGATCCCTTTTGCCGGACGCATAGACATTTGCTGCTTTGACAAGACCGGCACATTAACCAGTGATGAGCTCAAGCTGCATGGAGTAGCTGGCTTGGAAGCGCATGTCGAGCCTGACAAGTATAGGGGCAAGCACCGCGGTGAACTGGACATTATTGCTCCTGAACAGCTCCCTCTTGACACGGAGTTAGTTCTGGCGGGTTGCCAGTCATTGGTGCTACTTAACGGCCATGTCGCTGGAGATCCGCTTGAGATGACTGCTGTCCGGAGCATTCAGTGGTGCTTGACAAGCAGCGAAGACGGGCAAGAGGGGCTTCCAAGTGTTCAACCTTCCTTCTTCTCAGACCGTCGGGGCGAGATTCAAGCGGTTGACATTTTGCACAGCTTTACTTTCTCTTCCGAGCTCAAGCGCATGACTACTGTGGTTTGTGTGCGGAAAGCTGATAACGATGAGCAAGATGAGCAGAGAGTGCTGACAAAGGGTGCCCCTGAAGTGCTGGAATCACTCTTGAGCAAGAAGCCTACGTACTATCGCCGTGTGCACCGCCACTATGCATCTAAAGGATGTCGTGTCTTGGCACTGGGCTTCCGCGTGCTGTCTGTGGAGAATTCCCCTGATGAGCTGCGCCGGAAACCCCGTCACGAATTGGAGAGTGATCTTACGTTCGCAGGTTTTCTTATCATGGACTGTCCGCTGAAGGACGACACAAAGCGAACGATCCGGGAGCTCATGATCGCCAAGCACAAAGTTACCATGGTCACTGGAGATAACCCTCTCACGGCATGTGATGTAGCCCGACAAGTCGGCATCAACGCAGGATATTCCAAGCTACCCCTGGTTTTGACGCCTAATGCGGAAACAGAAACGGTGGAGTGGAAATCCATTGACGACGGGTCGCCTGACATCGAAGTGGAGACTATTCCTTTTAACGTGGACGAGGTCGAGAAGATGCAAGTCCAGTATGATATGTGTGTGACTGGCGACGCCATGGCAATGCTCTTCAAGCAGCAGGAGAACGAATGTGCAGATAATGCGGCTGTGCTGGAAGGTTTCCTCGCTGTTCTTGAAAAGATGTGTCTTTGTGCCACCGTGTTCGCTCGCACGTCACCCCAGCAAAAGGAGCATCTCATCATGGCAATGAATCGGTGTGGCAAGACAACAGCAATGTGTGGAGATGGTACCAACGATGTGGGCGCCTTGAAGCAAGCCCACATCGGTATTTCGATTGTGAATTCGTCCAGCACTGACCACCCTCCCCATGTGGGTGCTAGGGGTGCTGGTAATGCTACTGATCAAAGTGGCCTTCGCCACCGCCGACAACCTGGACGTCGGGACCACTCCGTACAAGAGTTGCAGCAGTCCTTGTACGGAAGTGACGATTCCCAGATTGTACGTTTGGGGGATGCTTCCATCGCATCGCCGTTCACGTCGAAGAGCTCGAGTATCCGAGTGATCAAGAAACTGGTTCGCCAGGGACGATGCACACTAGTGACCACCATCCAGATGTACAAGATTCTTGGCATCAATTGCCTTATCACGGCATACTACCTGAGCTCTCTTTTCATCCACGGTGTGAAGAACGGGGATCAGCAGCTCACGATTTCGGGGGTAAGTGCGTTTTCTCGGTTTGTGCATACTGGACAGACGTTCTAATTTATGTCGATATGTTGCGCAGTTGTCTATCGCGATGTTCTTTTTGTTCCTGTCGCGAGCGAAGCCGGCCCGGAAGCTCTCGCACCAACGTCCACCGTCTGGAGTGTTCTGCCTGTCCGTGATGGTGTCGATCTTTGGGCAATTCGTGATTCATCTAGCGTTTTTGGCGGCTGCTCTCCACGTCGCCCAGCCTTTCATTCAGCCTGGAGATCCAGCAATGCATCCGGATGGAAACTTTACTCCGAATGTGGTCAACAGCATCATGTTCCTCATGTCGTCGGTCATGCAAGTGAACACGTTTGTGGCCAACTACCGGGGGCAGCCATTTATGGAGGGGTTCTGGGAAAACAAGTTGCTCTATCGCAGCGCTCTCTTCAACTACGCTGTGCTTGCAGTGATCATCGCAGAGGTGTTCACGCCTATCAACGCGATGCTGGAGTTGGTGGCGATGCCGAACCAGGAGGTAACGAGTCTGTGCTGGAACTAGCGTGGTGAGTGTTGTGTACTAACGTGGTATTGGTGGTTGTGGCTTTAGACGCAGTTTATCGTTGCAGCTCTTATGGCGGGAGATACGATCGTTACGCTGGCGTTCGAGCATGCCGTCCAGATGATCGTTTTTGTGTCGGCCTAACTCTTTTTACAAGCGAAGGTAAAAGTATTAAGAAAATAAGCAACGAATACTTAGAAAAAAATTGCGGTACTTCTCCGGCCCGGAAAATCGTTAACAGTAAGTTTTCATACAAAAACTCAATGTGTGATTGGTCGCTGATTGAAAAAAAGCAAATCGGTTGGTAAACCTTAAAACAGATTGGTATTATTAGAAAACTTAACCTTTACTCCCTAAGTTACGGGAACAATGCGAGTTTTGACCGTATAAATTACCTACTTCAGTATATTGATATTCCATTCCGTAATGGAGATTTTGCTTATTCCAAAGAAAAGATATTTCATCAACTAAAACTATCTATTGATTTTACTACTGTGGTGATATGCCGTTTTGTGATCAGCACCCCGAGGATCTAAATCGGACAGTATATCAGTCGAGAATTTGGCTAATTTAGACTCCAGAGACTTATTTATTTCGACCAATCTCCTAATTAGATTCCCTATCCCTATTTCAAACTAATGGCCAGGTCCGTGTGCTTAATCTGATTCGCAACCGGTTTGCTTGTAAACTAGAGGCGATGCTTTGGAATGGGAGGACGGTGTAAATTTATATTGCACGCATATCAATAAATACATGAGTGTGGCGTACGTAGCGTTCCATTACAAAAATTGGCGAAGTTGTCGCGCAAAAGACGTGGAACTTGAAAGGTGCGCTCCGCAGGGGGCGAAGCCATGCATTCCAGGGCATGAAGAAACGACACACAAAAATAGTTTACACGAGAAAATTCACGTGATTCAGTCAACTTTGAGTGAAGGAGGGAGGCGGGGGTTAAGACGAGGCCAAAGCCAATTTAGGCGAAACAGACGCACAAAAAGAGAGCAATACGATAGTTGTTATTTCATTGAATTTGGGTAAATGTTGCCTTACAAGGAGAAAATGCACAGTTGGCTGTCGCTATCTTAATTATGATTTCTCGGGGAAAATCATAGAACCAAGAACTGCTCAGTAGTGTTTGCACAACCTTCGTGGTATTATAGTAGTCATAATCTGTTGACTATGGACTCGGGCAACATTTGCCGATGAAAGCTGGGGGGGAGGGGGGGGGTCCGGCGCCAAAGATATAAAATTAACTAGGCTGTTCAGCCAGCTAAAGCTGTCCTCCCAGCATACGGTGGAATGTCATCGATCAAGTCGACATTCCGAGCTATTCGAGCTAAATAAATATAACTCTGTAGGTTTCGATGCAACTTCCATCCCTCCAGCGTGAAATTTGTAGGGCATAGAAAGTGCACTATATAGCCAAGTCGATAGCATCCTCATTGACTTGGATGGCCCCAACTTCCGGTCAGTTCCGGACTCTCGGTAGCTCTTAGCCGTCCTCTCTTCATTAGACTGAGTGGAGTCTTGCCAGCTTATCTAAACTGGATTACACAATCCTATTTACTAACCAATTTCGCTATGTAGCTAGGTTTATACCCTGGTTTTCAAGTCCGATTACGATACATATATTAGCTAATAAGGCGTGGTCATTCCAACCGCATTTGCTGTTAAATTCGGTCATATTTTTCGAATCGACTCCTCATCCACGCTACCTACAAGGTCAACTCCGCTATGGTGTATGACGTCTTCGAAAATGGTCGGTACGTGTAGGTGAGTTTTCAATTTTACCTGGACATCTAGGGCCATGAACTGTATGTGTAATGGACCGACCTACTTTGGCTCACTACTTTTGCTTACACGTGTGCGCACGTGTACGAGGAAGCGTAGCTTAGTTTAAACTAGATTTAATTATACTTGGGCCTCCGAGTATAGATCAATCTAAATAAACGATCCAAATAATGGTTTTGGGTTTAAATGAGAACTGCTATTTTTGTTTTATGCTTTTTGATAAGTTAGGAATCTGCCAACGGCTGGTTGCCATTTTGTTTTCCTGTTGTGTGGTTACGTTTAGGCTGGAGTCGAGCTGGTAGTAGGTAGGAAGACTGATTAATTGCCAAGTGGATATAGGCGCTTATCCTGTTCTGGCCGTCTGTGTAGGAGACAGAGTGGAACTAAAGCTGAATCGTGTGTCGGTCTACCCCAACGTTCAGTATCAGAAGGCGATGGCGGCGTTAAAAACATCGTGTCGTATCACAATTTAAACAGCTGTACGGCTGATGATTCACGTCGATGCGATCGACCAATCAATTTTCATTTGATACACCAGACGACTACACACTGAATCCTGCAGAATGGAGGTGCCCGTGCCTTATTAACTTCGTGCGGAATCTACCTTGTCCCCACATCATCAAATACCTGGGGGGGGGAATTCCGCAATTTGATAACGGCCTCGATCGTGAGACGGCGTTGGTTGGCTAAGCGTTTTCGCGGTCGTACCGGGGCTGATGCTGCGATCCGTCATGGCGTGGGGTCGTTTAGCGTGGCATCTGTTGTGTGCTCTGCACCCAGATCTAGGACCAGATCCCAGAGTAAAGTACACGAGGAGCTGCTCAACGTTGGCAACAAAAATGCGGAAGTCGTTGTGTATGGAGGACTCGAGCTCAGATCGATCGGCAAATATTTCTGAAGCAGTTGCTAAAAGATCTGAAAGCCGGGATGGATCCAAAGCTGCGATTGTCGTCGATTCACCGGTCCGACAGTCCAACACGTCCATCGAGGGCATGATGATCCAAAGGTTTGCAAAAAATGATGCGGTCAAAGAGTGGGCATTTGTCGTTACCTGGTAGCTTAAGGTGATATCCAGCATCGAGAAGGGTACCATGAAGCCAAGTCAAACTGCACTATGACGAAGATGATCCGAGTGTTTTAATGATTATCTTCGTTTTATCTTCGGTCCCTGTACAATACCAAAACTCGGCCAAAGAAAGTGCTTGCATTTGGCGGCACGTGCACACTTCGGTAAAGTATAGTTTGATATATGTACCCCCAGTAACCTCGCTCCTAAACTGGGAATGGCTGAAAAGAAAAGAGGAAGGGGGAAAGGGCTGGTCACATCAAGGAAGAGGGGGTGGCTTACGTTGACGTAAGCGTCGTAAATGCAACGAGGCTACTCTCCGAGCCGCTATGGGTATCACGAGATACACTCTAAGTGCAACAGCATATTAACAGCCGCATCGACCCACTCGAGCATGACCAACCTAGTTGGTAACGAGCCCGACCCAGAGCCGTCGACCGCAAGTACGAAGCAAGTGCAGATCGACAACTTCTTGGGGCTTGTGAAGGAAGGCTCCCTAGACGACGGCGCCGGTGAGTGGTTAAAACGCCTCACCATACAGATACGCCTGGGCAAATCGTGGACGGGAAGGTCTGACCCGACAGCATCAAGATGATGGTCACCTTGAGGGAGCAGCATCAATCTAGTTCATGCGTCAGTTCGACACCCTGAAGGACAATAAGTTTGAGGGCCTCTGCGGTGCTTTGCGCGAGCGGTATCGCTGTCCACTGGACCGTCTCGAGCTCAGTGCAGCCCTCCGCAGGACGATGAAGCATGCAAATGAGTCGTACACGATCGACCAACATGGCCTTGGCGCGACCGAAGATGATGACGAGAAGAGCTTGCCACCAGGGCGACCGTCATCCGAGGTGCACGGCCTGGACTCGAGCGAATGGCGGCCATGGACGCTGTTGGGGAAGAACACTTCACATCTGCCCCAAGTATCCCAACGGTGCCCTTATTGTCGACTCCGGCGCTTCATTTCACATGGGTGGCCCCGAGCACATTCACGACGTTCCCCGTGCCAGGAGCACGTCATCCAAGTGGCCGGCGAGGGTACGGTAAGTTACACTTGCCAAATGGTGTGACGCTTCGAAACGTTGTAGTGGTACCCAGAATGGCGAGCACACTCATCTCAGTGGCCGCCTTGTTCAGGAGGGAGTGCACGTCGTCTTCACGGAGGAGGGTTGCCACGTGTACGACACGCTATTGTTCAGTGGAAGTGTCCGCGCCAGACTACACGAGGTCCACGCGCGCGCGGGGGGGGGGGGGGTGAACCCTCGAGCACCCTTGCGCTGGCCGCTTGTGAGTCAAGATACACGCGGAACAGTCTCAAGCCCTGGTACCGACGGATCGTACACATTGGACTATCAGACATCGTCGACTTAGCCAACTACAACAAGATAAAAGGAATAACTCTCGCTGGACCCCGCTCTCTCAACGACACGTGTGAAACCTGCATGTTATGCAAGGCCACAGCCCGCCCTGCGCCGCCGACAGCGGCAAGCCCACAAGCCGCCAAAGACAGTGTATACCTCACCGATCTCTCCGGCCCCATGCAGCGCAGCATCCACGGTAACAAATACTTCTTGCGCTAAAGTGGTTGGGTTCCACCCACATCTTGTTTCTGTCACACAGGTCAGACACGGCAGTGGCCTACCAGAAGTACGAGCCTCATACAGCGAAGAACCAAGAATTTTCCACGAACACTCACCATTCTGAGATCCGACAACGGGGAGTTTGAAGGCTCTGAATTTCGACGCGTGTGTGCGGCTGCTGGTATTGAGCGCGAGTAATCAGATCCCCGCGTCCACCATCTAAACGGCATCGTCAAGCGAGCGAAACGAACAATCACGAAGACAGCCCGCACATTTGTCGTGCAGTCCGGCCTACCGCACAACCTCTGGGAATACGCTGTTCGACGTGCTGTCTATGCGAGGAGTCGCGTCCTATCATGCAGCTACCCCGATGCCACGCCTTCGAACGATACTTCGGATATTCGCCCGACCTCAGTCAACTTCATGTATTTGGAGAGCGAGCAGTTGCGAAGATCCCCGCGTCCAAACGCTCCACTCGCTTCAAGTTCAGCGAGCGAGGTCAAACCGGCGCAATTGTCGGAAACGCAAGGGATACTTCATTTACCTTCGCAGTCCCGGACCTCGCATCC